TAGAGGAAGCCATCGCCGAATTCCTCCACGAAGATATCTTCACGGTATACGGAGCGCCAGCGGAATTTCTAAATGACAATGGCGCCAACCTACTTGCCACCTCAGTGCAATACTTCATCAAGCCGATCAACACCAAGCATAGGACAACGACGCCGTACCACCCGCGGACGAACGGCAAGGTGGAGAACTTCAACGGTCTGCTAGGACGGATGCTCACCAAGTACTTACATGGGGAAACCCACTCGGGTGTGGGACCTATACCTGGCCCAAGCCTTGTTCGCCACAAGAGTCAGGGAACATGCAACGTCCGGCAAGAGCCCATCCTACTTGGTGTACGGCACCCACCCACGCTTGCCAGGAGACACGGAACTGGTGACATCTATCCGAAGCCCTGCGGAATTGGACAACAAGATTATAGCCATCAACCACGCACGGGCTTCACCCCCACGGAACGAGTGGAAGAATCCCGGCCAAGGGATTGGAACCCCGCCCACGAAGCGGAAGAGAAGACTCAGGAAGAGAACTTCTGCCAACAGCAATAGCCGGACGAGCCTACCCAAGGAAGGGTAGAAGAGATTCATGACATGGATCTAGATGACGTCGGCGAACCTGAAGAGGGTGGCCAAGGAGATCAGCAAATGGAGGACACTCCACCAGCACATCAAACATCTCCATACCTCTTCCGCAAGCCACGTCGCTACGCGATGAACTCATAATGAGTTGGGATCCGCCGCCGCAGCAAGCACGCGGGCGAGCGAAGGCGTGGAAATACCACAATAGGCAATCTACGAAGAAGCAATCGATAGAAAACGGTCCTGTATTGAATCTGCTAACAACTAGGTGTCAACGAAGAGAGAGAGACAAGTGACATCACCAAACAAAAGAACAAAGGAATCTCAGGCGGAGCAAGCTAAACGTCGGCGACAAAGTCAGCCCAGCAGGGGTCGATCTCGCCGCCAGGAAGAGCCGAGGCGACTTCCTCCCGACGACGGAGAGACTCGAGCCCGCTCAAGTCCTGCTGGACGAGCTGGACGTTTAACTGCAGCTGCGCCAGCTCACGACGAAGCCGAAGCTCCACCGCAAGCCGGGCGCCCGCACCAGCGTCGAACAAATCCCGGGTCAGGACGGACGAGTATCGGCCCACGCCCACGCCGCTTGAGACCCCACTTCCCTCCTCATCCTCCGTCCCGCCATCTCCAACGGAAGCAAGCGGGGAAGGGGAAGGGGGAGGAACGAGACGACGGGAGAGCCGACCGACGAAGCGGGAAGAACGGCCGGAGGAAGAACGGGTCGCCCGAGGAGGGGCGGCTCGGGGAGGAGTTATAGGAGAAGGGACAGCTTGGGGGACAACAGGGGAGGGGACCTGACCGGGGAAGTCGGGGGCATGGACACGCAACGCAGCAAGGACCCAGGCAGGGTAGGCAGAGCGTAGGGAACACTTGTGGGAGACCCCGGCGAAGTGACAACACATGCACGCGCCGAGAGAGAGTACCACACCCTTGCTAGCCCCGTCGACAAAGGAAGCGACGCGACAGGAAGCAAAGACACCGGCCCCCCGAATACACCGAGCACACTCCCCCCCAGAGGGGGCAGTTACGCCTAAACACTGCCCAAGGGCAGCGACTTGGTGGTTGTTGGACGTGATGTTCCGCAACTGGTACACCCCATTCACTACCTGCCAATCGAGCTCCCCACCTAACGACTGGTACACTGCAAGCAGTCTACCTAGGATCCCTGGGGTGTCCCCCTCTATCATGGGCTGATAGTCATCAGCCACCCCAGCCGGCAAGCCGGGGATACCCTCGGCGTCCAGATTGACAAACAGAGGACCGGAGTCCTTAGGGGCGCCTAGGAAGGGCACAAACCAGTCAGCAAGCGAACCAGCCAAGCAGGAGGGAGGAGTGGAACCACTTACTGGACAACGGCGAACCCGTTGGCGAGACCATCACACTATCCTGTGGCTCCGTAAGCACGGACAGTGGAGAAGAAGCACGACTGGCCACGACGACCATCGTGTTACCCTCTGAACCTGCAACTAGGACGTCGACAGGGTCAGGCGAGGGGACAGCGAGCCGGTTCACAGAGGGAAACGACATGTGCACTACCTCGAGAACTTGGCGTCAGTCCTTGGCGCTCCGGGAAAGAAGGCCGGATCACATACCAAGTGAAGCACTTGGTCCGGCAAGGAAGTGGAAGATGGAGTGGGAGAAGTGCAGTGGGCATAGAGGGGGAGCGACACCAGAACTGGGGAAGAAGCGAGAGGTGTTTATGTACAGGGCAGTTGTTTGCTTGCTCCCCTAACAAAGAGGAAAAGGTTGGGGACAAGCAAACTAACCACCCTACATTGACCACGCCAATTCCCTCTTCTGGAAGTCTGAATGGCCTCACATACCTGGCTTCCGGGGCGGTAAGCCAGATCTGGTGGGGAGGGATGTGCTCCCGAGAGGATTGCAGGGTTTGCATACTCTTGCTGCCTGAGGCCGCTGCTCAGCGGCGCTTGGGCCAAGCACTCGGGCACAGGAAACGGGGCTTCATGTTGGATAAGCGAGGGCTTGGCATGCTATGTAATAACCCCTATGTTGTACATAGTTAACTAACTTGGGGTGGCCAGCTCGCTTACATGGCCCACTCGCTTACCGAATACGTTAGCCACCTTCCTGCTGCTTAGTAATGGGCTTATTCATCCCATGCCACTACAGTCGTCCACCATACCATCAACCGAACCCGAGGCAGGGAAGGGTGCAGCGAGAAAGAGAGAGAGAGGGTGATATGGGGGAAAGGTGGAGGGTGTACTCCATAATGGTTATTGGTAATCTTCTTTTTTTTATACGCATGGGTTGTGGGGTACAGGAATGGACTGATTCCACACTCTTTACGATCAGCATCTGTGTACACTATGGGGATGCACTATGTGGTCCCAGCTTAGCGTTTGGCTTCGAGTTCTTGCTTCGGATGGAAGAAGCGCTTGCACAGTCCTGCGCAATTAGTTAGACTGCAACTGGTGAATTGATCGTTAATTGATTGAGATATTTATGTCTGTACAACAAATATCTGTATATAGAACGGAGTCAATGTTCGGAAGGCGGCCTAAACTGCAGATACAAAGGAACGACGAGTCGGAGAAAGGCCGACCTGATCGACATGTAGATCTTTTCTTGACTACTCCGTACAGTGGCCTGAACTATATCGTGAATCCTGAAGAGATAGACTATCCATATGCGAGCATCGTCGATTGCAAATTCTGATTTACCTCTGGTATTCCCACGTTCAAACAACATACAACAGAGACAATTTAAAGCCTTTGCGACAGTCACTTGTGCAAATTATTGAAAAAAAAAAAAACAGAAAAACAACATGACTAGGCCTTTGAGTGGGGTTTAATTATCTTCTCCTATTTTGCAGTACCAAGCAATGCCGCAGATAGACTACAACTTCAAGTGGCCTAGCGCCAAATATAATTAGAAATTTTTAGAAATTTTCACAGAAAAGAAAAAGTGCGCGAAGGTGAAAAAAAAAAGCCACCAAGTGCCGGCGCCATCCTAAGCCCCACCACGCACCGCGTGAGCCGGATGTTTTCATTTTAAAAAAAAATTTTTTGCAACCAGGTTGGGAATTTACGCTGATGACCTTCGAATACTAATCATTTAGAGGGCTGTTGATTTTGATGAGGAACTGCAAATCAGATATCCTATTTTTGTAGATCGACAAGGCCTGCAAGACCATATCAAAGCCAAGTCCAGGTAAGTGCGTGGAGTCCCGTTCATCTCTCTATCATTATTCGCTCGGATTATATGAACCGCTTCTTTTTGTAGCCCTGGGAATGCTTTTCTTCCCCTTCCCCGATGAGACTGGTCTCCTAATTTGATATGGCGCCAGTGGCTAAACCTATCGAATAATGGTTTCCAAGCACTTGACCATATTGGGCTTGTTAGCTCGGCTATACGCGTCCTTTTGGTAATTTCAGTGAAGCGAATAGAATTGGACCATCTGACACTATTTATCCTACTATTAATGGATTTGAAGCCATGGATGCCCCCCCCCCCCCCCATATGTTGTAGTTGACTTAATTCCCCCCCCCCCCCCCCCACCTTTCGCTCGTTTGACTTTTAATTCTTTTCTCAACGAGTCTTTTTGGATTCAATTATATTATCCCAACTACATACACTCGCTATAAATCGTTGCGGGATCATAATCCGCATCACTGCTCTTCACCATGAAGTTCTCCTTGGTGGCACTGTTAACCCTGGCTGGGGTTACTGTTGCCGATTTGGATCCCATCGTCATCAAGGTACAATCTTCAAACAGATGTCCAAACCGTGGTGTGCTCAGTGCTAAGACTGTCATTAGGGCTCCAAGTTCTTCTATTCCAGCAACAACACTCAGTTGTAAGTCCCGATACTGTTGATGCCTCTTGAATTCGGGGACCTGACAAGAATAGCTTTATGCGTGGAGTTGCCTATCAAAGTAGGCCGTTCATGTCATCAATTCAAAATCTCGACTAACCTTTCGCAGGGGAGAGTACGAGTAGCAGTGGCTACGCTGACCCTCTCGCCGATGTCACCGCTTGTGAGCGTGACGTGCCTATCATGAAGGAGCTGCGCACCAACGTTATCCGGACCTATGCCATCAACGCCACTGCTGACCACTCGGCTTGTATGAAGCTCTTGTCGGACGCTGGGATTTACGTCATCTCCGATCTATCCGATCCCAATCTATCGATCGATCGAAACGATCCTTCGTGGAAAACGGATCTCTTTGCCCGATACACCAGTGTTGTCGATGAACTTGCCAAGTATAACAATACTATTGGCTTCTTCGCGGGAAATGAGGTTTCTAACACCATCGCTACTTCCGACGCCAGCGCTTTCGTCAAGGCTGCTGTTCGCGATACCAAGAAGTACATCAAGAAGAAGGGCTATCGCCCTATGGGGGTGGGATATGCTACCGCCGATGTGTCCGACATCCGGGCGGACATGGCCGACTACTTCAACTGCGGAGACATCGACGACACGATTGACTTCTGGGGATACAATATTTACTCGTGGTGCGGGGATTCCAACTACGTGGAATCTAAATACCAGGATCGCACAGAGGAGTTTGCCAACTACTCCGTCCCTGTCTTCTTCGCCGAGTACGGTTGCAACCAGGTCCAGCCCCGCGAATTCACCGAGGTGAAGGCCCTGTATGGCGAGACTATGGCTAGTGTCTGGTCCGGTGGCATTGTGTACATGTACTTCCAGGAGGCCAACGACTTCGGTAAGAAAAATCATTGCTTTCCTTCCATAGATGCCAAGGTAACTGATGAGAGTTGCAGGCCTCGTTTCCGTTGTCGATAGCACCAGTGTCCGCACAATGAGCGACTTCAGTTACTATTCCAACGAGATCGCCAGCGCCAATCCCACTGGTGTCAACAAGGCCTCCTACACTCCCACCAACACCGCTCTGCGAAGTTGCCCTACCGTCGGGCCCAACTGGGAAGCCGAATCCTCCCCTCTGCCCCCTATTGCGGATATCGACCTGTGCGACTGCATGTACGATGCCTCCGCCTGCGCGGTCGCTGATTCTCTGGACTCGACGAAGTACGCCAAGCTGTTCGGCACCGTCTGCGGTAACACCGACTGCAGCGGACTGGCAGCCAATGCTACGACCGGCGAATACGGTGCTTACAGCATGTGTTCGACCAAGCAGCAGCTTACCTTTGCTTTGAACAAGTACTACATTGAGCAGAACCGTGCTGCTGGTGCTTGCGACTTTGACGGATCTGCATCCATCAAGGCCGTTACCAGTGCTACGGGCACTTGCTCTACACAGATGATGGAGGCCGGTATCGCTGGGACCGCAACTATCACGACGCAGAACACTGGCACTGGTCGCTCTCGCTCTGCTTCCTCGACGGGCTCGTCGACGGGCTCGTCGACCAAGACTAGTAGCGGCGCTATCAGCGTGCATTCCAGCTCTTCCTTCGGCTCTTTCCAGGTGGTTGCCTCCATTGCGACCGCACTCCTGGCAGGTGTTGGAATGATCGCTCTGTAATTGACCTTAGTCTATTCTTCGTACTTGGCCTGCGTGTCTGTTTTCCCTTTCTGTTGCGATACCTTTGAAGAGGAGCCTCGGAGTGAGGTGGTGGCCGACCTAGCTAGTAGATAGCCCTAGGTGCATCTTCGCTTGATTGATGTTCGGGGTATTGCATCGCGCAAATTGTCAACATCGAATTTGATTTGTACCCCATCTCGTGATCTTTCTTTTTTTTTTGGCAATTTCCCTGGTTCCCTTCATCATCCATTTCCACCCCAACCTCGTTGCACAGCAACCCAACGTATAGATGTTGTGATGTGCAAGGCTAGGGTGAGCTTCAGTTCAACCACTGCAACTATCACAACCCGAGATCATTCTTTCACGAGGTTGCAGGACGTCTCGGTCCATCCCCTCACCGACTGAGAATTGGGCATTTGACCTTTCATCTGCCTTTCATCTATCATTCCAGTCTATCACTCCTCATCCACAGACATCTACACCTCCAATTTGTGGGAGATTGTCGGTCACCTGATGGGGGTATGCAGAGTGAAACAAATCAACAGAGACGTTGTGCTACGTCGATTATATACGAACAGGTTAATTCTTCAGTTCTGCCTGGCAGAAATCCAATGAGGCAGGTAGGGTATAGGGCTCCTTCTCCTCCTTGCTTACTCATCGGTCAAGGCGCTGTTTCCCACTGTGAGCGGTTGTATCAGCTATGCCTAATCCGGTATCATACCGACGGATTTACACCCGACTGACAATACTCAGGAGTAAATGCAAGTAAATGGCAATGGCATTACATAGAGTGGAGTGCTGTGGATCCTAACCAACTTTCCGCCTACCTGGTTAGGCAGTTAGTGGATGTATTAATAAAGAGTGCAGAGCATACGTTGCAAAGCGTCTCTAGTTGAAAACGTCGCAAGGACGATCCCTTGGCAAGACCCCACACGTTGATGTGGACGGTAAAGAATTTGCCGATGAAGAAGCGAAACGTGCAGCGCTTCGTGGTGCGGGGAGAGGAGTTGGAACCGGGGGCGGAACGGGTAAACCGATAATCCGCCTCGCCGCAGCTACGAGAGCGGCACGTCAACGAATCAGAGAGCAATGGGAATGTATTTAAGGTGCTCACGGGGGGTTTTTTTTCGAACTTGGACGTCTGTTTTGTTTTGACCTGCCAAAGAGGACATCCAGCCTCAACACTAGTTCAGAGTTAAAAAAACGATTTCAAGATTCTTTAAATTCTTCGCTGAAGTACTCATGAATATCCTAGAGAGGAATCACCCCTGGATTCCTGCCAAATCATATCCTGTTGAACTCGGATGGCATTTAACGGGACCTCATCATCAGACCCATCATCGGGATGGGAGACACCTAGTTGGACTCTAGTTTTATTACGCGGCTCATCTGACGGTCGTAGGGCAGAGTTGTGCAACTCAAATCCTTTAGAATGCTCGGCTTCGGTCCGTGTTCTGTGAGTACCGGACTGGCTGGAAAATTTGGATGAGAACATCAAGAACAACGGACGCAGGGTCGGCATGCAGGCGGAGATAATCCCCGTCGAGGATTCAATGATACACCAGGTGCAAGACTTTCCGAGCGTCCAGGCAACATCTGCCGGGTCGTATTCAAAAAGGGTAGTGATGCGATAGATACTGGTGAAGACAACGCTATGCAGAAAGAGTCTCGTCAGTTTAGTATCACAAACCAGTCGCGATATTGCAAGAAAGGGGTATACGGACAAACTACCCAACATAAACATTGCAATTACGGACAGACGGTGCGTGAGACTTGCGTGCAGTCCCCATACCACCCGCACCGGTAGAGACAGAATGAGAATTTCGATGCCGATGTTGGGCACTGCGTTTGCGATAAACGAGGCTTCGAGGTTGATACAGTGACCGGGAATGCGCTTGTCCCAGGCTCGCACAATCGGAGTGCATTGGAAGATGTCCACGAGGATCACAGCCACGCACCACAAGATTGATATCCCACCCAGGATCATCGAGGTAATGCGCATTTCTCTCGTAGGAAAGATGCGGCAGTACATGAGTAGGATAGAAACTCTGGTGACCGCGATCGTTGTGACGAACATGCACTCGAATGTCACTAGAAGCTATGTAGATGAGTATCAGTGGAGAAGTCAACATCGTCTATATTGTGAATCGAACCTTTGCGATCATGATAATATTTTCCATCGCCAATTTCTCCGAATGGGACCCCATACCAAAATCATTTACTATTGACGATTAGCCACCGAATCAAGAACCCCCAAGAGAAGTGTGACATACAGGCTAGCATCAATCCAACGAGAGCTAAGAAAGGAACTAACGCGCCCAGGATAGTAAAATCGTCCAGTCCTGGCTTCAGGGACTTCTTCCATCTTGCCAAAAACCGTAAAATCACAAACATGACGCCCAGGACAGCCATCGCGATCGTCCCAGCGCGAGATGAGCCTCGGTAGTCATCCTGGACATTGGTTGTGGTCATCGTGTTTTGACCTACAAAATAGGTAATCAAAACATCTTTTGAAGCTCGATAGAACTGCAATGGGGCGTTTAAATGGAATTGATTTCTCTCGCCCCTCCAAGCGCACATAGCAGACTGGTTAGGAGAAGATCCACTTTCAAGTGTCAGGATTCATCTCTATCCACAATTGAGCGACGGTTCCTATACCTAATGTGTACAACAATGGCGTTTTCAGGAATCACTTCGTATATTAGTATTCACGCTAATAATCCTACACCGCAAATGTGAGGTCCTTTGGTGGATCTTAAACCAGGGCTCTGTTCATTCTTTGCACAGAGGGATACAGGGGTTCAGGGGCAATTACGCTTGTTTTAAACTGGAGACCTTAGAAAATTTGATGCAAGTTTCAGGCGTTCTTCGATGCTTTCTTTTTTAATTCAATTTAGCGCTGTTGCTGAAGAAATCCTCTGCACAAAAGAACACAACAGAATTGACCCGACAGAATAGCCCCTTACTCGATAGAACAAGCAGAAACCTAACCTCTTTTTGGCAGGTCATACTGGGAACCTGAGATGGGACCAGGTCCTCACTTTCAGCCTTCCTTGCCTGTCCTCTCTTTATTATGGCAGCTTAATCATGTCCCACTGGATGTACAGAGGTTACAAGTACCCAGGTACCAGATCTTTCTCCATTGATATACACCCCCCTCCCCCCTGTACCTCTTTAAATTCACGTCTTGGGCGGTCGCCCGGGTGTTGTTTGAATGCCTTGATTGGTACGACGCTAAATTGCGAGTGCTAAATCGACCCGTATACAAGATGGCTTAGCCTTTGGCGTTTCTCTCCTCATGTAGTAGAACCGACGGATGGAATCGGTTTAGGTGGATAAACACACAACGTAACTAGTCGAGTATCAAAAGGCAGTAAGGGATATGCTAGAGAACTAGGGCATTGGAAAAAGGTGCGTATATGAATCAATGCTAAAAATCGTCTCTGATGGACCGGCCAGTGGAAAAAAAATTCTAAGCGTCCCCTAATTAAATCACCGAGGTCTATATAAGTGGATCGAGCTATTGTTTAAAGCGTCTCGTGATTCGCAGCTATGTGCATAATGGGCATTATTTTATAATTGGTAACTTCAGCTAGCGAGAGGCCTACTAATTAATACGCTTATAAAGACTAGAATCTACCCCAGTAGGACTAGTGGGATCTACTACCCCACTAGGGGATTAGAGATAGCGAACCCCCGAGGGGTAAGACCTACGAATGTGAAAAGAACGGCCACTATGTATGGGAATATCACGCGAGAAAGCTAAAGCTCAGAAACCCTACAGCCTCGACTACCTAGTTGACCCTGACGAAGAGGGTCGAAGAACTAGGCGACCTGGCGGAACCTGGCAACGATCCAAAAAAATCAGCCCACTTAGAGAAAGTCTTCTTTAAAAGTGGAGCTATCGATGTCTCGGCCTTGAACCACACAAAAGAGATGCTCAAACCGGACCAGAGCATGATCTTTCAACGCGCAGCTGTATTGGGATTTTTTTCATAATTTGGATTAGATGTGATATCCACCTGGGTATATCCCAATCGTTTCATGATCGGTAATGAGACCAAAATTTTGATGGAATAATGCATAGTAACTGAACACCCTCAAACCCTTCTAACCCCTTCTTTTCAGTGATCGGTGCTTCGGGGTGTAGGGACTCGAGAAGGAATTGAGGTGCTGATGGTAGGATTCCTAAAGGTTTGGAAAAGGCTTGCAAAGAGGAACCATCATCAAAGTGATTAGTCTTGATTGAGCAAGTCGATGGTCAAGTTCCACACCACGAGATATCCTTCTTGGTACCGGGTAAAAATGGTCTGGTTATTGTTCGAAGATTAGACGATTGATGCAATGCTGGAAAAGTCGTCCAATGCTAACTAAACGTAGGACCTTTTTATACCCTTTTGCGTTTTTCTATCCTCGGATCCCATATCCAGTTGTCAAGGATTGGAAGAAGACACACCTATGTCTTCTACTTCTACTTCCCATCTATCCGAGAAAAGGGATTGTCCAGTATGAATCAATATGAAGGGGCAAGCTTATTGTCGAGTTGTCGTTGGCAACATATAGCGCACTGCCACTTTGGATCATCACCTGCCCTCAACTGGAGTGCCGTTTGGTTTCTGCCGGGAATGGATGTTTTTTGTTGTTGGATTGCTGGATTTTTTGTTTCCGAATGGTCAACTCTGTGAACAGGTTCTAGAATCGCAATTTCCGGAATTTGTTAAGCTTCCACAGGCCATACTTCGCGATAGTTACCGTTCCCATCACACACGCTAGAACAAGGATGATAAAGGCCGAAGTACTCTCTTCAAAGAAGTTCGCCACATTCATTCCAAACAGACCAGCCACAAAAGTTGAAACGGCGAATCCCAACATACAGATCTCCAGTTGAGCCTCGAACACCAGGATCTGATTTCGTCGCACATCCAAGATCGACTGAATGGTTTCAGTTGTGCGCTCCAAATCTCCCAGTAGAGCAGTTGCCGACTCCGCGATCGCGTCTGTATTTTTGTAATACGCCCCGAGAAGATATTCCACTTCACGGTGATCCTCTACCGCATGCGGTTGACCTGCCTGTCGATCTGTCAAGAACATGGTCGCCATATCGTCATCATTTTCAAGAATTTCTCGTAATGCCGAGCGGAACTGACGGGCACGCTGCTGAATAGCCACGAGCCTTGTCCGGTGATCCTGTAACCCACGGAGAACAGAGTAAACTACATCTTCTCTTGTTGAATCCCGCAAGCTATCTTCGACTTCTCGCCGGATGAGAATGTGTTCAGCTTCAAGAGTGGCAATCACAGAAGCAAGTGCGGCATCCACTACACGTAGCTCATATGGGAGCTTCGCTATGATACCAGAGCCCGGACCAGGTCGGAGCCTTCTCTGGAGGTCTGTCATAAAAACATCCTGCACCTTCACGTGGCAGTCCTCAAGTGGGAGAAGGAAAAGAAGGACTCCATGTGCGCGGACCAGGAGCCGTAAAGTGAACATGCTGATAAAGATGACAGACGGACGGACCAACAGATGAGGGATCCCCTCCGAGACAAGATCCACGTTACGCAGATCGCGACCATCTAATCCCCATTCTTTAGCAAGATCATCCCTAGTTCCTCGAGTTTCAGATTCCTTGATAGAGCCATCGAGACCCAGGACTATGCAGCGCAACTCTGTCGCATCATTAATGCGGCTTTGGGACAAAGAAAGAGATAAATCGAACACCTTTTGATTGAAGGTTGCTTCCCTTTTCCTGTCAGGCTCCTGAATGACGTGATGTGATTTATTGGGGAGCGTGACGATCTTCCGTCTGCCGCAGCTGGGGATCTGGATCTTGGGTTGTTTCATGCGGAGAGTGCCGGAAAGATGATGGAATCGGCAAGGTGGTGTACTTGTACCTCTTGTCAGTCTGTCTCTCGGAACAAAGAAGAACGAAGTCCTGGCAGCACGCCGATGCATGATCTATATCGTCTTTGCCACAAGCATGAGCGGAGCTGTGGAGTTGGACTGTTCTCGCTGCACTACTCGGGCTAGTGTGGCTTGGCGGATGTGGCGATGCCTGTGGCTTCTTCGTTGCTGGTGAGGATCAACTGATTTCTTGATTTTATTATGAGATAGGATATATGAGGGCTAAGCTAGCAGAGATCATGGAAGGAGAGGATAGTCCCCAAAATTGTCCATGTTCTACGCCAGTGGGCCGACAAGAGCGACGCAGTGCTCACAATTAAAGATGTATGGACAATACTGGAGTCGTGTTTTTACAACTCCTTCGCAACAAGATATGCCAGATTCTGCAATTTCTGCATGATACCTTTGGGGTCATACTTTTTCGCCACTGCGTCGATATCCTTGATATTCTTCTCCCCAAAAGACGTCAGCGGCTTCTGGTTGGGACCCCCATCGTTGACGAAGATGTAGGGGAGGAAAAGACCCTGCGACTTGGCGCTGGAGGTGAGATTGGCCAACACTGAGTCTACGGTACCCATTATCACCGATTGGCTGAGTTCGTCTGGAAATTGAGCGAACATGTTCACCCCTGTGCGAGGTTTTTGGTCAGAGATGTTTCCTGGAGGGCGATGTGAGTAGAAAAGGAGACATACACATTTGCGTCGTCGCCTCGAGACCGAGCAGATTACCTCCGTTCTGCAGATTGCCTCGAGTTACTAGATTTGGCATGATACCTTGAGGTACGTAAGAAAGTCCCGCACCGGGGGGCAGAGAGGCAGCGGCCTCGAGATAGGCCGAAAAGGTATCTTGCAGGAATTTCGGCCCTGTTACCTTAAACGTGAATGTACCGCCGTAGGATACGCCCTTGGAAGTCAGCCCGGTAGAGCCAATCATGAGGAGAAGCTCACTGAGCGAGCCGTTTGTTGGTGGGTATAATGCCGAGGCCACAGGGATGCCAGAGAATGGATCAAAGGTTGCGGGTGTAGTTACATGGCCAAGATACCCGTAAAAAACCAAAGTGTAGGTGGGATTGATCTGGATCTCCACATTGCTGTTGATATCGCCATCCAAAAGATATTTTGCATAGGCCTCAAGTACGGCGGGGGTGTTGGCAACGGTGTAGGTGCTTAACTCATAGTAGACATCGATGCCGGTGTTGGTGGTGAGATCATACTCAGTCACGATGCCTGGTCCAGTTAGATAGTTTGAACGTTAACACACAAGATCAGTCTCACCGAAGTTGTTCAGACCTCCCTTCAGTCCTTTGTATAGATCGGCATACTCAGTTTGGGTGGCGTCGACAATTTTTCCATTGGGAAGCACCACCTGGAATCGGGTGACGCTGTCAAGAGCCAATCCGTGGGTATTGTAGAAGGTGCTGAGGCCCCCTGATGCTATCAATGTCTTGGTTCATTGAGACTTCCGACGAGGATTTCTTCACTCACCACCGAGAATGTACCCGCCAACGCCTACATCCACTTCACGACCACCCAAGACGGTGACATTATACGGCTGGAGGTACTTATATACAGCACCCCATCTATTCCCAGGCCCCACAGTCACAGTTCCGCGATCGGCGCTTAGGAAAATAGTGTTCAATTTCTCCAGAGCGACCAACACTCCATGGCGACCGATCGAACTAAATCCTGGGTTGATGTTGTGCCCACCAGAGCGAATAGCGAACTTCGTCTCTAGAATGCCGAGGATCTGTAATAGACGTGAGACCTCTTGAGCGGATTTTGGCGTCACAACGCAGGATGCATTTAACCGACAGTTCTGTGACCAGGCTTCGTCGATAAAAACACTATAGTAAGGCGAGGTCATAGTGAAGGTCTCGTTCTTGGAAAAGACACGATTCAAGAGGCTACAGGTGTAATCGGCATTTCCGAGAAGAACGTCTCCAGCGGGGAGAGAGATGCCCAGCGAGGAGAGAGCAGCACCAATTGAGAATCGAGATGGGATGAAGGTTGCCATGGCGGTAGCCAATGCCCCCATAAGGACACCTATTACTGAGGACATCTTGGCCATTTTTACTACCCGCGAGTTGGCTGGTTGTAGTTCATGCGTGTTCGCAGCCCTTTATGGACCTGCGAACTGCGATGTCGGGTGGGACTTGGGATGCATCGCACGATTACAAATGGAAGGCAAGGCCGACGGGTCTTCCATTTCTCGATGTTTCTCATGCCCAAATTCGAAGATGGACCGATCGATTCTCGTGCCTGGCTTGCGATTTGCCTCTCGGATTACCGACCTGGCTCGGCCGACGGACCGGCATAGCTTTCGCTCGATGTGCTGTCAATGGCATGTAGCGATTCAAAAAACACAGAACCAAATCCTCATCCCTTCTCACTTCTTCGTCACCTTTGATATTTGAACAAAATGGGCTTCTTCGCACTCGAGGAATGGGCAGCCGCCAATCGCGACTACGACAACACCCCAGCGCCCTACTGGCATGCGAAGTCTGTACCCGATGGCTTCACGGCCATCTCAGGAATCCTCTGGTCAATCTCGTATATCCTGATGGCCAAAAAGGCCTTCAAGGATCGATCCTACGCGATGCCTCTTCATTGTCTCTGCTTGAACATCACCTGGGAAGCGGTTTACGGGTTTATCTACGGCCCAGGACTGCTAAATCAGGTTGTCTTCGCACAATGGATGATTGTCGACGTCATCCTATTCTACGCAATTGTTCGATCGGCTCCATCCGCCTGGAAGCAGTCACCGCTGGTGGCGCAGCATCTCGCCGGTATAATCGTGGTTGGATGTGTGGTCTGTCTATGGCTGCACCTGGCGATCGCTGCCACGTTCATCCCGAGCATCGGTCGAAGGGTCGTTTTCATGACTGCGTGGCCCATGCAGGTCCTTATAAATCTCAGCTCGATAGCACAGCTCCTGTCGCGTGGAAATACTCTCGGTCACTCTTGGGGAATTTGGTCAGTTGATGGATCCCCCGTGTAGTCAACTGAAATACGGCACTGACAGCATGAGAAGGTGGACCAGAATGTTGGGCACTATTGCAGCTGCATGTTGCTTTTTCTGGCGCGTGTATTACTGGCCGGAGCGATTTGGATATGCGTGGACCCCTTACGGGCAGTTTTTGCTGCTGGGTAGTATCGGATCTGATGTGGTGTATGCTGTTGTCTACATCTATGTTCATAGATTCGCGAACCCACTGGACACTCGAGTGAAGATTGAGGCGAAAAAGAGTCGCTGATACGGCGTATAATGTATCATTTGCACCTGGTTGTGATGGTGAAAACAATCACGTCCAACAATCGATTTAAAGTACCAGTCTGTAGATCTCAATCTGTCAGATTAGCTGCATCTTCCAGTGCATAGATTCCAGTAGATGTGTGGAGGTGTATCTGTCTATCTCGATATGTGACAACATCATCCACGTTGCTACTCCGACTTCTTCCCCCTGGCAGATGCCTCTTCTTCTAACTGCCCACGAAACCTTTCTCGTGCTCGTAGCTGTGCCTGTGGATCCGCAAATCGACGTTGAAACCGGCTCTGTTGCATCACCTTACAGGCTGCCTCCCAGTCGGTCGTCCACTCGGGATAAAAGGGCGCATAACCCAGCAGCCCACCAATCCACCGGCCCACAACGATGCCGAGAAATAGCCCGATCCACGAGCGGAAGGGCACCCACCACGGTGGCGATAGATACGTGCCTCCAGCATCAAACATCTATGCCCTGTGAGTTTCTGAATCGTTGCTGGTGGAAACAATTTTGCGCACCGAAAGCACCTGCACGAGATCCAATTTCTCTCCCCGTTGAAAAACATCCTCCTGGTACCCATACCAATTCTCAAAGAACGGCTGATCCATCACAGTGGCACCCGCCTCTTCCGCAACAGGATCACTGGCACTCACGACGAACTCTACCTCATTCATATCCGTTCCCGGGGTTCCATAAATGACATGATGGGTATAGGGAGGTACTGCTAGCTCGCCATGCCTGGAGGTCCGGTGAATGGCGCGCCCATTAAATTCGATGGTAAGATTCCCACGGAGAATGCGGAAGAACTCCCACTGCGAGGGGTGGAAATGCGTGGGGGGCTTTTGGCCAGTGGCGATCAGCTTGGCATATATGCCATGATTTGGCCTCATGACACCGTGAAAAAGAAACAAACGGTCCGGGGGGCGGGGCAGATTACGGACTGAAATGGCTCCATCAAATTTGGTGAGCGGATCCTGACCGGCTGTAAAGGTCCGAGGTTTGCAGGGTGCCATTTCCAGCTTGAAAGGGAAGTAGTTCTGAGAGAGGAGAGAAGCCCAAAATGGATAATCTATTCACTTTACATCTTCGTGATTCCTTGTCATCCCCTAGGCATTCCCGAGGAAACCCATGAAGGATTCACTTCTTGACTGGATATCAGACGAGAATGACATTCGGTCGTGTTCATTCGGGCGAGGTTGTGTCGTCCCCTTTGAACTTCCCTTTTAGGGTTGTCGGCCGAATGCTGAGTCACCCAGTTAAGCTGTTTGTCAGCTCAACTTGGGATGTGCTGAACAATCCAACAAAGATAGTACCTTCAGGGATGAACATAGGGTAGCTGGTGAAAGAGAAAGCGGTCTGAGCATGACTGCCTACATATCCCTACTTCCCTTCAATCTATTCTGCTCTTCACGGCGATTCTCCTATCTTCCCTCCTGATTCAGCTCCCCATCATGGTCAACATCCTGCAGTCGAAAATCGACCCCTTGCCTACCGGCATTGACCTGACGGATAAAACCGTCGTTGTTACTGGTGCTAGCGCTGGAATGGGTCTGGAAACGACCAAACAGCTACTACGACTGCGCGCCTCGACTGTGATTTTGGCCGTCCGCAATGTCGCCAAGGGGGAGGCCTGCGCAACTGTCCTCCGCCAGGACCGTCGCATTCAAGCCCACAATTCTAACCCGACCATCAAAGTCATGGCACTTGACGTGGATGATTACGAGAGTGTACAACGTTTCACCAAGCAGCTCCGCGAAGAGATTCCGGTGGTTCATGTCCTCATTCTGAATGCAGGTATCGGTCTGCTGAAGCTGGAACGCAGCCCGAGCGGCCATGACCGAACCACCCAAGTCAATTACTACTCCAACGTCTTGTTGATCGCCGAGCTCCTGCCGTATCTCGAGGCGGGTGCGGAGAAGACTGGCTCTCCTGCACGCATTAGCTGGGTCGGCAGTCGTGCGCACGAGTCCTCAAGCCTCGAGAAGAAAGTTCCCATCCAGTCCGGTGAAAGTGTACTTGCGCACATGGACAAGGAAGAGTTCTTTGTCCCGTTCCAGCGCTATGGGGACTCGAAGCTACTTTGTGCGTTGTTCATGTACAGTCTGGCGCCGCGGCTGGATCCCAAGAAAGTCATCCTCAACATGATGTGTCCAGGCATGGTGAACACAGGCATGAGTGATGTTCTCCCCCTGCATTTGCGTTTAATCATCAATGTTGTCAAGTCGATTCGCGCCAGACCTGTTGAGGTGGGCGTCTGGATTATCCTGCACAGTGCGCTGGTGGTAGGCCCCGAGTCTCATGGCAAGTTCTTAGGCGACAAAACCATCTCTGAGTATGTCGTCTCTTCCCCTTTTCCCAACAACGGTGTTTATTGCAAATTAGCTGATGCATCCTCCCAATAGCAAAACGGCGTTCATCCAGTCACCGGTGGGCCAGGAGATTCAGAAGAAACTGTGGGAGGAGACAATTGCCGAGATGGGCAGATTGACGACCCTTCCTGCTGAGTTCAAGTAGACTATTCAGGGAGTATTCTTTATGCGCTTGACAGGTTCTTTGATCAATGTCTACCTGATCGAAGTGTAAGCCCTTTTATGGCGTCAGTATCTAGCACGAATCTATTCTAGCAACTCTTTCGTTATGTTCCGATCAGATGTCTTGTCCCCTGTCTCCTGTACTTCTAGTAGTAACTTCATACTAACCAATCACCGTATCAACTCCCATGCCCTCGCCACGAAATTCCCCGGCACCGCTGCAGCAGACTGTTGAACCAGTTCCAACGCAGCGAATAAGTCCCCTGCCTCATGGTGAATACCCATCGCCAGCGCCACCGGTACGCCCTTCAAGTACACGCGACTCCAAACATACCAAGACAACGTGGTCGCATATCCTACCCACCGCCGCATCCACCTAGGCTTTGCTCCCCGATCATCAATACCCAAACCCCAACAACACAAATCCTCAGCCATGATGGCCACTCCCTGTAACATAAAATATTGTAGTTCCCCACCATCAGAGAATGGCAGGCCAAATGCTCGTGTCACTTGGTAGGTCCCACACCCATGAATCAATCCCGAAACGACGAAGCTCATCAAGAGAAGCCAGTACCGTCTCCCCAGTCGAATCGAAGTCCGTTTAGACATCCTTACACTATCTGGCAGCAAGCCGAGGATATATGCACCGGGCGCACCTGCCTGTCGTCGCAGTTGCTGGTGCCAGGTGTATCCCCAGAAGCGGCGAATGCTGTATGCTTCGCGAATATCAGCGAAGTTAGGTGGCCATGAGGAAGCATCCTGCCAGGAGTGAGGACCAATTTGGAGACCGACACAGAGAGCTGAGAGCGGAAGTATGACAATAGCGAAATGGCTGTATATTGTGATGACGCAGCCACCTACTATGAGGGCGTATGTTTGCAAATGTTCGGCGAATGAGGTGGTGGGTTTCTGGTTTGACAAGACGAGCTGACAGCTCACGTTGACGAGGTGCAGACCCGTGTACATGGCAATCCATCTGATGAGTTGGGATGCGGCGAATTGACCCCTGGTTGTTGGCGTTGGAGACTTGGGAATGCCGCCGACGCGCCAATTCCAGCCGATCCCACGGGTAACGCTGAAAAGTTCCAGCGCCCAGACAAGACGCTCAGATACTGAAAGCCTGGCTGCGTCTTCGGGGATTTGATGCTTGATGACACGGTGGAATGTCTTCTCGGGGACGGTCGTGTAAAGTCGGTCAAAGTAGCGAAACAGCAGGTTGCCCATGAGCACACCCGACGAGTAGAGGAAGGCCCGGTCTATAACTGGAGGTGGGGGAGCAAGAAATGCCAGTGCTGCGCAAGTGATCTGGAGAAGGAATACTCCATAGCGGATTGCAGTCCCATGGGGGACCTGTGGGATGCAGACGGCGAGGACGAAGGCCAGGGCTGTATAGTGTCCGCTGTCGAGAGAAAATGACTGAGTTTTTTCCAACGCCATGGACATCCGGGACACAGTGATTTTGACCAACTTGAGACGGATTTTAGAGAAGTTGGAGAATTTAACCCCCCTGGCCGATGTTTATGTGGCTGTTCTGTCCTCGGTGCTGTTGGCCATCGGGGCTGCACAGTATTCGGCCGATCGGGAAAGAAGCAACGCGCAAGTTTCGTTAAATAGAACTCGATCGATAAACCAATATTTGGATAACAAGAGGTCTGTATCATTTATGGCCAATTCCACACAGCAATGGCTTTGGTTTCTGTGCTTCCTGTGAACCTCTGGCTCATTGCCGCGAGCATCTTTGCTCTTTACCAAATCATCCGTGCTGTCTATCTGATCTTCTTTAGTCCTTTGTCCGGGTTTCCAGGCTCACCATGGGCAGCTGTGGGGGAATAGTGCGTACTCGCTCTTATATCCGAGGCCATTTTGCTGATCATATACTGCAGTTGGGAAGCCTACTGGAATATCGGCCTCAAACCCGGCAACAAAGGCCAGACGTTGTTCAAGCTCGAAGAGATGCATAAGCGCCTGGGGCCTGCATTGCGCATGGGTCCAAATGAGATCCATATCTACGATCCAGCCTTCTACCACGAGTTGTATCGACCAGGTAGTCGGTACTACAAAGATCCATCGATGCATAAGGTCCTGGGAGCGCCGTCGAGCACGCTGGCCGAGAGTGACCCGGTGCGGCACAAGCAGCGAAGAGCACCACTAGAGCCCCTGTTCTCCAAGAAGAACATCCTCAGTCTAGAACCAATGCTCATGGACCATGTTGATTACTGCTCCAAGCGATTTGATGAGCTTTTTTCTCAGGGAAAGCCTGTCTCGATGGAATGGGCTTTAAAGTCGTTGGCAATGGGTATGCATCCTCTTCATATCCTAATCATATCACATCTTTGATCTAATCGAATGGCCTAGACATGGTGTCTCAGTTTGCCTTCGGTCAATCCCTCGACGCCCTCTCTGATCCAGAGTTCAAGTCACTCCAGGTGCGAGTCTTCCAGCAATACCTCCCTAGTCTACATGTCATCAAGGCTTTTCCCTTTGTGCGACTGCTCAACCTGCTGCCACTTTGGATCGTAAAACGCATCTCACATTCTGTTGAGATGGGCCACGAGTTGGAACGGGTGAGCTCTAACTATTAATTCCCCCAGCAAATCCATCGGTGCTGATTCATTCTGTCCAGTTCGCCGCTCGTCGCATTGATGAGTATCTTGCTGCGGCGGCAAAGGGAAAAACTCCAACCTTCCCCACTCTCATGGAGCGTTTGCTCATTCCAATTCCCGAGAAGGGCTATGCAGTCCCTGACAAACAGGGTCTCCGTGATGAGCTTCTTACCATGATCTCCGCTGGGGACGACACTACCGGAATTGCCAACACAGTTACCATATTCAATATCTTTAATAACCGTGACGTCCATGACCATCTCCTAGCGGAGCTAAAAACAGTCATGCCGACGCCTGATACCCATGTCTCATACCTTCAGCTTGAGGCGCTGCCATATCTTGTTCGTTTTTCTCTCCCCTTTCTCGCTCCGAAGGGAGCACATCCAGTCACCCATTCCCAGTAACGCTGATAGGACACAAAATAGACCGCAGTGATAAAAGAAGGTCTCCGATACTCTTCTCCCGCAGCCTCCCGCACTCCTCGTCTCGTTCCTCCAGGCGGCGTTCGTCTTCCGGACGGCCGATTCATCCCCGCGGGAACCCGGGTTGGAATGGCCATTTATCATATTCACTACAACGAGACTCTCTTTGAAAATCCCCGTGTCTTTGATCCAGAGCGGTGGCTGCAGGGATCGGAGGTGACAACGGAGAGAGCTAAATTCCTGGTGCCTTTTTCACGAGGGAGTCGGTCTTGCCTGGGAATCAAGTACGTGCCTTTCTTGCTCCAAAAAAGGAACGTGACTAACGAATACGTGATGAAGCCTTGCATATATGGAGATGTACATGGCTATCGCGTACATTGTGCGACGGTTTGATTTGGACTTGGTGGGAACAACCGTGGAAGATATGAAATGGGATGATATGGTCGTGCCACAGTTTCATGGAGAGTTTCTGGCATTTACAAAGCGGCGAGAGGACTAGTTGTAGATGAAGCTATCCCTGATTTGTTTTCATTGTCGATGATCTATGTTTTCTATGTGTAGACCCGATTGATATGTCTGTATGAGACCGCATGTCTACATGTACATAGTCGGTGATCACACTTCTAGATCTGTTTTGCAAGGTTCATCTAAGTAAAAGACAGCATATCCATTCACTTGACAAAACAATCTTGGAACTACATTTCCTCAAAAACTCGGCAGAAATATTCTACCAGATGATGCACCGTAGGATACTTCCACACCAACGTTGGTCCAACACCCACCGTCAGTGTCTGCTGCAAGCTCATCCGGAAATTGACCGTCAAAACAGAATCCATGCCCATTTCCGGCAACGCGACTGTCTCATCTACCTCATCCTCCGGGATCGACAATGTTGTCGACACGCACTTTTTCACAGCGTAACGCAAATACTCAGCCAATTCGGTACCAGTCAACTTCTTCCTCTGTTGGACTACCTCCCCAGTTACCCCATCGGCAACCTGTTCTTTCCTCGTTACAATATCTCTCAGAATCACATGTGGCAGAGGCTCCCCGGATTCAAGCGGTCGAGCACGAAGAACCACTCCATGGTCGGCACCCTCACTGGCCGAGATCAAACTCCAAGCCCGGAACGCCTCGTCAGGAGTCACATCCGTGATACCACGGGCATGCAGTTCCGCCTCAAGGGCTCCATTGGAACTAGCTCCCATACCCATGCCCCGCCAAGATGTCCAAAGAAGAGAGATGGAATTATCACCCTCCCTTCTGCGTAATCGTGCCAAAGCGTCCAAGAATGAATTTCCACTTGCATATGACGCCTGACCCGGGAATCCCAGGAGTTGGCCACAAGAAGAGAAGAGGACGAAGAAGTTCAGCCCGGGGGAGCTGGGAGGGAAGACGGCGTGCAGCGCCAAAGCACCTGCGATTTTTGGCGCGAGGACAGCTTCGAATGCTTCGGGGGTGATTTGCTCGATGAGCTGGTCGTGGAGGATACCAGCGGCGTGAACGACGCCGGCAACGGGTGGAAGGTTGAGAATGGCGAGAGCCGAACGAAGGCTGGAAACCGCACACGGATGGGAAAGGTCGATGGCTAGGGAATGGATTGTAGCACCGAGGCGTTCAAGAGAGAGGATTCTTTGGACAATGGACTGGACTTCGGGGTTGTGCGAGGCGGTCCAGGTGGAGCGCGGCGGTAGAGAGCGACGAGATAACAGCAGGATACGTCTCGCACCTTTACTGACCATCCAATGGGCTACGGAGAGGCCGAGACAGCCAAGTCCGCCGGTAATTAGATATGTGGATGCCGGGGAGAATGTGAGAGCCGCGGGTCCGGCGGTAGGGTGGGGCGGGGTGGGGCGGAGCGGGCGGAGGCGAGCGGTGCGTGGGACCCCATCCTGGATCTTGATGACATCGGCGTTACGCACGTAACGCATTGCCATGAGCGGGAAGACCAAAGGATCGTCAAGATCGATGAGGCTGCCCCAGATCTCGGGGTGTTCGGTGTGCAGAATCCGACCGAGGCCAGTGAGGGCGCTGTGGCCTATGTTGGCTTCGCAGGTTAGGGCAAAGAGACGTACGGGGGTTCTATTTGAGAGGGATAGAATTATCTGCGCTGCTGAAACGAGGTCGTTGCAGGTGTTGATAGCAGTCTCGAAGATTTGATCGGTGACTTGAGGAAGGTAGACAACCGCCAGAGACGAATGAGTTGTCAAGGGCAAGTCGGAGGCATGCTGATGAATAGAGGTAGATAGACCGCTGCTCTCAAGCTGTCCCTGGTAAATTCCCACGTGGGTGTTGGTGGCATCTGGTGTCAGGAATGCGATGTGGGAGAATTTCAGCGGCTCCTCAACCAGCGCGGCTGGCGGCCAGCTGATTTGGTGCACCAGACCAGAGGTACTTTTTCGCGATAACGACTCGCCCTCGACACCGGCAAAGGCCATACCCTGAATCTCCACTAGCACGCTCCCATCCTCAGCGCTGATAATCACGTCAGCTGCGTCGACGGAGGATTGTGCCTTGGTGCAGTAGATGTACACGACACGGGGGGTGGACACGTCAACGGCGACGACACGACGGACTGTTGTGGGCATACGAAGTCGAGGCTCACGGCGCCAAAGGGTGGACGCGATGGAGGTTGCTGCATCCATGACGGATGTCAAAAGATCATCCATGCCGGGCAGGCTGTCCAAATTGGCGTCTACCCTGGCCAGCATCTCGTTGTCGCTGGCCACGTGGTGCGCTACCCGCCATGGGAATCCCATGGCAGAAACGCCTACAGAGGCGAGGTAGTCTATCGAAAAGCTATTTGTCAGTTTCTGTGGCAGTCTTTTCCCGATCTCCACTATGTTGATATGGCTGACTGAGGGTGCAGCATCAGCCGCGCCCACGGTCGCGGTGGTATTGACAAGCCATGACCCATCTTCATTGCTTGTCGACTCCTCTAGGCGAGAAGTTATAGTAATGTTGTGCGTATCATGCCGGATCTGGATCTGGCGAGCCGGAGACACAACTACAGGCACCTGAAGCGACACTTTCTCTACACTCCTGGGGGACAGAGCGCGCAGGAATGTGCGCAAAAGCACAGCGGCAGGGACGATCTCTGACCCGTGGAGTGGGTGACGTCCAGGAAATGGCCGATTGTCTTCCTCGAGGCGGGTTTGATAAAGTACCTCGTCCGTTCCCCACAGCGCGGTGCGAGTCCCCAGTAAGTCATTGGCGGCTGGCTTGTGAGTCGGCACCAGTTGTGCAGCTGTCATCCTGCTCACAGCGCGATAGAATGGCTGATGATGCCAAATAGTACCGGGTACTGAAGAACTCCATTGCGCAGTCGGGTCAAGATCTATGGGTTTTACCGCGCAGCCGAAGCAATGCAAACGGCCCACGGCGGCCAAGATGCTCTTTCGTGCCTGCTGGTTACGCACCATTGTGGGTGTCGCGATAAACCGGTCCGGCGTTTGCTCGCTGATGGTCTCAATGATCGAATGCGTTATGATGGGATGACTCGCCACCTCCACAAATGCGCGGAATCCATCGTCCACCAGCGCCGCCACTGTCGACTGTAGTAGGACAGGTTGGACCATATTCATCACCCAGTATTCCGCATCGCGAGGTACCTCTGAGCGTGGATCCAAGAGCGAAGTCGAATACAGCGTCCGATGCGGCACCTGAGGGTGGAGCTCGTCCTTCAACGCGTCGCGGAGGGGACCTGCCAGCTTTTCCAGCAGCGATGTATGAAAGGGCACATCTGTGGCGACAGCACGCACCTCAATGCCTTCTTCACACCATTGTTCGGACAACTTGTGGACTGCGTCAACGGTGCCGGACACCACGCATGCGGTTGGGGACGCCTCGATTGCGACGGACGCGCCTTGGTGCGTGGCCATACGAGCACGAGCGTCAGATGCCGGCAGGCGAACCAGGGCCATGGCACCTTGTCCCATGAGCTCGCGGTAAAGACGCGCTCGCCGACATACCACGACAGCTCCTTCTTGCCAGGTCAGAGCCCCAGAGATGACTGCCGCGGCGGCCTCGCCCAGGGAATGACCCACGACAGCGGTAGGAGGACCGGACTCTGCTTCGAGGACGGCGGCAATTCCTAGATGCATGAGGAATGTAATCGCCTGGATAAAATCAGTGCGCTCTGGATAGCCGACGTGTAGGCTTTCAATCGCGGAGAACCCTAACTCGGCTTGAATAATCGGCTCCAGGTTGCGCACGACTTCCTCAAATACCGGGCTAGAGTGGTATAATTCGCGACCCATGTCTGGCCACTGCGCACCATGGCCCGAGAACACCCAGACTGAGCCCTTGGCTGCCTCGGTTCCAATACGGTTGTTGATCACCCATCGATTCGGCACATCCTTGGCCAGATCATCGAGTGTAGCGATGGCGTTTGCGACAGAATCAGCGACGATGGCATGGCGAAAGCGATGATGCGCGCGGCGCTGCGACAGCGTGGACGCGACTGTCGCCAGGGATACCGCTCCATCAGTGTCGCGCAACCATTGGCTAAGGCCCCCGGCTGTTGTACAGATTCGGTTTGCTTGCGGCACGGATAAGAGAAGGAGGACCGGCGTAGCATCTTTGTCCGGGATCAGGCTTAGTCGCTCGGCAAACAGGGATCTCCCTTCAAAGGCTTCGATAATCGCATGGGATACCGTGCCGCTGTATCCGTAGGATGCTACGGCCGCCCGCAACGGCCGTGATGGGTGGCCATTGGATAATGTCACCAGTTCGCGGGCCGGGCATAGGAAGCTCTCCTTCCATGCGATTTTACCGTTCAACGTCTGCAGATTAGCCTGCGGGGGCACTTGGCCATGGCGGAGCACAAGCACGGCCTTGATGAGACCCATGACACCAGCACCAGCTTCCAAATGGCCAATGTTGGGCTTGATGGAACCGATATAACACGGCTCGCATGGATGCCGTCCAGATTGCACTCCGTATACCTCGGCTAGAGCACTAATTTCTGTTGGGTCGCCCAGTGATGTAGAAGTGGCATGGGCCTCAATATAGTTGATGGAGTCAGGCGTCACCTTCGCCTCATTGAGCGCCTTTTGGGCGACGAGAAGCTGTGCTCGGGCGTTAGGGGCCATGATTCCAAGCGTTTTGCCATCTGAGGCCACCGCACTGCCCTTGAGCACGGCCAATACCTGATCGCCATCCGTCAGGGCTTTATCCAGACGCTTTAGGATGACCACACCCGCTCCTTCGCCTCGGCCGTACCCGCTAGCGGATTCGTCGAAGGACCGACACTTTCCATCCGTGGAGATAGCTCCCGCTTCATCCAGCACACGGGTTAACCCGGGTCCCAGTAGCGCGTTGACACCACCTGCGATGGCTAGATCGGTCTCGCCCGCGCGGATAGCCTGTCGAGCATGGTGTACGGCGACCAGTGATGATGCACAGGCCGCATCCAGTGCAACGCTAGGACCCATCAGATCCAGCAGATAGGATATACGACTAGGAATGCCACAGTAGGCCGTGCCAACGCCCATATGAGCCCCGACATCGGGAAGGTCTTCCAAGACCAGCTTGGCATAATCATCGGAGTTGACACCCATGTAGACGGATGTATTTGAACCCGCGAGGCGGGATGGAGAGATGCCTGCATCCTCCAAGGCCTCCCAGGCAACCTCGAGGGCAATTCGTTGCTGGGGATCCATCTGCTCCGCCTCGCGCGGGGAGATTGCGAAGAAGGCAGCATCAAACTGGTCAATGTCGTTGAGGAAGTAGCCCTTAGCTGTTGTTTGCGCTAATATCGCCGCGTTTCGAGGATGACGTTGTCGATAGGGATCCCAGCGCCAGGAGGGTATGTCGCCTGAAGCATCACTTTTCTCGAGAAGGAACTGCCACAATGCGGAGGGGGACTTCACGTCTCCTGGGACCCGACACGCCATGCCTATTATAGCAATATCGTCATGCCTGTCATTCTGGCGGAGATCATCTTGCATTTCAGCGTCCTCAGCGCTAGTCACCGGAGTCGTTGTGCCTTTGCTATCATTGGAACCCTCGGCTATGGTGAGGCCCTCTGTGCTGCTGGTTGAAGCAATCATTGTGCTGTGTGTTGTTGACACTGATGATATACGGTGAAATAAGTTGATCTGAAGATCTCAATCCTCCTCGCAGTGAATACAACTACGTAAAGCTCTCTCTGTATATCAATGCGAAGATTCCTCGGCATTGCCCTGTTTATACTTCTATGCTTCGTCTGACACCTATTAGAACTTCTCACAGTCCTTGATCTGATTCACTGGATCACGATCGGCCGGTGTGACTCTCTGGCGACATAAAAATGAACTTGAGTGGTCAGCTATCGGCCGAGGTGGGATATTCCTCCTGTCCCTACACGATGTCTGAGCGATTCGGCCAAATGAGACCGACTCCGAGCGCCCCGGCTAATGCAGAGACAGTGCTTTGAAATTCATCTTTGACGACAGCGAGTATGAAGTCTTTTGTCTTCTATAAGGATCGTTTAATGTGCATAACTTCATTCATTGAGGCGGTCTTCCGAACACGATCATCACTATGAATGACTCTATTACCCCAAATTCCCAGCGCAATATGCCTCGCGGTATATGGGAGCTGGCCCGGCTACACACCCGTGAAGCCTGGCTATGTTGGTATCCCGCCATCTGGGGGGCATGTGTGGCCGCCGGTATGCGAAATACCTCGCTGGAACTGGCGCCATTCCTCCGTTTAATCTTCGGAATTTGGGCTAGCGTGACATCTACACATTGCGCATTTTGTACCTTCAAGTATGTATGAACAAAAACTCACGGCGTGTCTTTCTCCTACTGACAAGTGTGTTAGCGATCTCTGCGACCAAAAACTCGATAAACATGTCGAGCGATGCAAGGTCCGCCCTCTGCCAGCTGGGATGATCACCACCTCTGAGGGCATTTTAGCTTTCATCTGCTGGTTGCCGATCACACTCGCTGTTACTTGGAGCACATTGGGCCCGGTCGTCACAGCGGGCTTCATTCCCGTATGGGTGCTGAGCACCATCTACCCGTTCATGAAGCGCATCATGCCATTCCCGCAAGTGATCCTGGGAGCGATAATTGGCGGCGCTGTGTTCCCCGGATGGGTGGGAATTACTGGAGATCTGGAGAACCTGGATGAGGCACTTCCTTTATTCTTAGCTACAGCCTCGTGGGTTGTTTACTTTGATCTCTTCTATGCGACGCAGGATCGTCCGGACGACGAGAAGATCGGCGTAAAGTCACTCGCAGTCTTGATGGGAAAGAATGTTCAGATCCTTCTGGCCGCTCTAGGGATTCTACAGGTATTGCTTTTTGCTATCACCGCACTGTGGGCGGATATGTCGCTCATCTTTTGGGTGCTGGGACTTGGTGTATGGATGGTGAGTGTGCCGTGGCACATCTCGTCATTGGACCTAAAAGATCGACACTCAGGCGGCCGTGTTTTCAAGTCGAATATCAAGCTGGGCTTGTATTTGACCGGTGTGTCTTTGTTGGAGCTCTTTGTGGTACACGTATATGATGTTTCCGTGGCAAATCTCAGGATGGAGCTGCGTTAGAGGACGGAGCACAAGACTGGACAAGTGTGCCATTGAGCTCCAGGGTCTTAGGTGATCGTCACATTGACTGAACTGGTATTTAGCTCCAAACTTCCAGGTCTTACTCTGCCTACATGTCCTTCGGCCGAGCTTAATCGATCTCGTTCTTACTCGGCCGTACAGATGAATCGTTGGGTTTAAAGCAATACAAACTTGTTATCGACATGTATGTTACAACTAATTCCTATTCAATCTTCTACATAAGTATTCCGATATACACTAGATCCATCTACTCTGAACACACCGGGCACCTCTATCCTATCCGATTCTCCAGTAGATTCGGCTACTCTTGCCCGAGAAATAAGTGTCCAAGGCAACTTTCCCCAAGAAAAAATCCGAATCAGTTCGGTTTCTTCGCCAGCCTCCCGCATCTGACAACTGAAATCATCCCTTTGACCATTGAGGAACTCGCCTATGCTATAGACACACTCCCTGCTGGCGGGATATCACATTGTACGCTCAGTATAGTGGAACGGGGTACCTCGGTCATCCGGCTTTTGCGTTGCTTTGAGAAGAACTGAACCACCGAAAGGCCAGTAGTCTTCATCCATCCAACAAACACCACCCCGGATGCTCGGAGCAAGCCTGGAATGGCCAATTCTAAGCTACCCCAGCCTATCGTTGCTTATCCGCGCGAGACAGGCCGAACAGCCGTCGATCTGATTCTCTCAGGGACTATCTCCAAGAACTCCGATGTGAAGATTCTTCTGTCTCACGTAGGCGGAACACAGCCTATTCGCGCTACTCGGGCTGCAATTATACTCTACGATACGGGACTAATCAAACTATCCCCTGAGACCTTCCTGGAGCAGGCTAGGGACTTTTATCGTGATCTCGCGCTTCCTGGAAACGAGGGGAACTTGGAGTTATAGGTCTGCAAGAACAGGTTTGCAAAGACCGGACATGTGCTGAAGTAGAGTGATTTCCACATTTCCGGATTGAGGGGAATAACGAGATACTTTGCAAAGCTAGGCAATAGATAGATAGCTACCTGGGTCGCGAGAGAGAGAGAGAGAGAGAGAGATGGGTCGTTATTCAAGGCTTGTAGACATGGAAGGATGTGCGTGAGATCAGTGTTAGGGCTACTTGGATCTCCAAGAGAAAAGCCACAAAGTCTGACAAGACCTGTCGAATCAAAACCTCTTGCGAGACATAAATAGCCTCAAGTTGTGTCATCTCGGTCAAGACAGTCTCTCATGCAAACATCCAAACATACTTGGTCGGCCGACTTGACTACCTGTGATGATCATATCCCTGCCATTCTACACACTAAGATCCCTTTAGGGCCTTCGCACCGTCTTTATTTAAAATAGAACTCCGTGGGTTGGATTGAAATGGTTGATCAACCATCATGGCGGGTTTTTGTATAGCTACTCTGACTGCGCTAGGTCTAGCACTGCTCCTTGTCCAATCTATTCTGAACAGTTGGAGAACACAGCGCAAGGTCCCACCGGGTACTTGTCCCATTGATCTTTCGATTTTCATCAAGGAAGAACATTCCAAACTGATGAAGTGTAGGACCCCCGGGCCTCCCTCTTATCGGCAACATCCACCAGATCCCGCGTGTGCGTGCACATCAAAAGTTGGTTCTTCCTCTACCGAATGAACTATGCTCCCTTCTAAAATTGAAAGATTCACCGAATGGGCCAAAATCTATGGGGGTCTCTACAGCTTCCGTATTGGCCCAGCCACTGCCGTCGTGATCACCGATCGAGGTCTGGTCAAGGAACTGCTTGACAAACGCAGTGCCCTATACAGCTCCCGACCAACCTGTTATGTCGGACAGAACCTCATCACTGGCGGTGACCATCTCCTCGTTATGGACAACAAGGAAACCTGGCGGCTATTTCGGAAGACAGTGCATCAGCACTTCAAGGCGAGCATGTGCGAAAATGAGCATGTCAAGCTCCTCGAAGCAGAGCACACACAGATGATGCGTGACTTCCTCCTGTATCCAGAGAAACATATGATGCATACCAAACGTACCACCAACAGTATCATCATGAGTCTGTTGTATGGGATTCGGACCCCGTCGTGGGATACACCACATATGCAGGAACTCTACGAGATCATGGAGCGATGGTCCAAGGTGATGGAGACTGGAGCGACGCCACCGGTTGATATCTTCCCGGGGCTCAAATGGGTCCCTCAGCGGTGGCTGGGCAACTGGGTTGATCGGTCGGTAGAGGTGGGCAGCGGCATGAAAGCGTTGTACGGGTCCTTCCGACGACGGGCGGTCGAGGCACGACGAAAGGCCGACCAGGGCTCGCAAAGCCGAGCCCGCACGTTCATCGACCACGTACTCGACCTGCAGGAGAAGGAAAACCTCACTGACAACCAGGTCGACTTCCTCGGTGGCGTTATGATGGAGGGTGGATCCGATACCGGGTCCACAATGCTCCTGGTAATGATTCAGGCACTGGTGCAGCATCCCGAAGTACAAGAGCGGGCACGCATCGAGATCGACACTGTCTGTGGTGAAGACCGATCCCCGACATGGGCAGATTTCGGCCATTTATCGTACATCACCATGATTGTCAAAGAGACGATGCGTTGGCGGCCGGTGACGCCACTCTCATTCCCGCATGCCCTCAGTCAAGATGACTGGGTCAATGGGTATCTCCTACCAAAGGGATCAACGGTGTTTCTGAACGTGTGGGGCCTCCACCACGACGAATGTGTCTTCCCCAATCCTGATCGCTTCGATCCTAGTCATTATGAAGGGCGACATCGCCTGGCGTCGGACTATGCCGCCTCGCCGGACTACATGCAGCGGGATCACTTCATCTACGGGGCTGGACGACGGCTCTGCCCAGGGATCCACCTATCGGAGCGCAGCATGTTCCTGGGAGCGGCGAAGCTGCTATGGGGATTTCAGTTCCAGCCGGAGCTCAATGAGTCGGGGGAGGCAATCGCCATCGACACCGACCCGAGTACGGGGTACACTGAGGGATTTCTGGTTTGTCCGCGGGCATTCAAGTGTAGAATTTCTCCTCGGTCCGCTGCGAGGACCGAGACTATTCTTCGTGAGTTTGCGCAGGTCGAGTCGGAGATCCTTTGTCAGTATGCCACCCCCTAAGCGGCAACGCCAAGCGCGAAGATCCAGGCACTGCTGGAACAAGGCTGACTGCAGATGGTTCGGCCGATGGCGGGGTATACACTATGCTTTGGCTCACGTAGTGTGAGGACCGTGAAGGTGATGGCGAGCACGTCACACGGAGTTTTGAGCGGATTTGATTCGTGGAATCTGATTGGAAGGCTGCAGGTGTGAAGGAAATGGCCGTTTTAGGGTGTTTGGATGCGCCTGTATGCATGTGCCATCTCGCAAAATTTGTGCCTTGTTGTGCAGTAGCCCAATCTGTAAAGGATGAATGATGAATCCTGCTGGATCGCGTAGGGTCCGGATCTTGTGGAATCAGGTCAAATCATGTAACTGGACGAAGCAGGTCTACCAATTTTGCTCATAGAATCAACAAGTTTTTAAAAATAATTTTGTTTTGTTTTTTCCTACGACAAGAAAAGGTAAAACAAAAAGAAGACCACGCATCATAACAGCGCTATTGCACTGGGAAATCGAGGCCTTCATGCGGGCCACGGCGACCAGATGTTGGACTGTGTGGGCGTAACCCGGTGATTACAGCATGATCAGGCGTCATATTATCAGGAAGTGCGAGAAGATTGTCGGGTTCCAGAATCAATGACGAAGACCAGGCGTCGAGATCGGAAATCGTAGCAAGGAAGTCCATGTCTAAGCCCGAGTCACTCCCGTCGATTAAACCGTTGTTCGGCGGGCCTGGTGTGTGACCAGCAACCACTGGAGGAGGTCCTGTGGTCATGGATGGGGTTTCACAATTGTTGGTGCGATTCGTGGAAGATGATGCACCGGAAGAGGGCTGGTGGGGAGTCGCGCGGAACTCTGACGCCTTGGTACGGGGCAACGCAGGACAGCGGGCCTGACACTCAATCATGTCCAATGACAGCGGGAGCCGGTCTTCAGCCCCGAGGGAGGAGTCGAGGTGTTTGTGCAGGTCAACGAGAACCTGGATAGCCAATGGCATCCGCGTCTTGCTCGGATTGGAATCGGTATCGTTAGAGCTAGTCTTCGTCAAGGAGGAATCTGGAGCTGAAAATTGGGCTACGCTGTGATGTATAAGCTCATCAACGCAGTATCGCGCCAGCACAGTCTCTCCAGACTTCTGGAAGGAATGCAGATAAATTAGGGCGATAAAGACGCATTGAAGAGGCCCATAGTGGCTGGAGCAGAACCACACGTATGGGGAGAACGCAGGTGCTTGATACAGCTGCAGGTAGATACGCAAGTAATTCACGCAGAGCTGCGCCATGCTGGAGGGTCAAATCGCGTGTCAACAAGTCTGTAATAACACTCCAGTGGTTGTGGATGAATATGAATCCATCATAACTCAATTTAGACAGAATTTGCTGGATGAAGCGGATATACAGCGGAAGATGCAATGGATTATGCGTGAGAGGGAGGAGAGATCGAGCGAAACGGAGCATACCTGGTCCAAGACTTGCGTGATTGCGCATCGGAACTATCTGGGGGTGGCAGAAATGGTTTCTGCAGCAAAATGGCTGTTTCCGATTTCAGCAATGTTAGCATAATTCGAGTCCATGCCGCAAACACGGTTGGCTGGCTTGCATCATCCTTGTATAACGAGGGATGTGTGGATGGCGATGCATTAGCCAAACGGGATGGGATGTACCCCCTTTCCGGGATTCCCTGCGTAGGAATGCGCGCGATAAGTGCGTCGATCTTCCGCAGAAGCTCCTTGGCATCTGTGACCAGCTCACCAAAACCCGCCAGAATTGGGGCCTGCGCACTCTGCAGGTGCGCCAAAATCCTCGCTTGTAATCGAGCAGTCTGATAACGTCCGATCGCGTAAAGAATGGCCACCGATGGTCGATTGGTTACAGAGTCTGTGCGCGGGGAAAGCCTGGTAGGGATATCGCTGGACCCTTCGCAGTGAGAATCAACCATGCTCACGGCCTCCCAGGCCTCGCTCTCGCAACAGGGGGTCAGCCCTGTGGAGATACTCGACTGCACATCGAGCCAAACAATGTGCCACCAAATCCGACGTCGGATTTCTTTATCGACATCACTCAGCGCAGACCATGTTCCCTCCCGATGTAAGCCCATTGTTTGGGCAATGCGCACCGTCGTGCTCACGTGAATCATCCTCAGCATGGGCTCGAAAGGCCGGTCCATGAACGGTGTAGTCAGCAAATTTGCAACTAGCGTATTTGATGTTGGATGTTCCATATGCTGACATAGGGAAAGACTCGTCATATATGCCGACTTAAGGTGGCTCACTGTAGTCTCCTTCTGTAGACCCTGCAGGTTGGTATCTGTCCAGCTGGCAGCGGGCGCGGCAGATGCGCCACAATAGAGGACTGCGAAGAGAAGGCAGATAAAGGTAGGATCATCACGAAGTTCAGCGGAGGGTAAAGCGCTCTCGCTGTTCCGACACCAATCCCAGAACACATCATAATCTGTCTGTAGGGAAGGCGGGTGTACCAGTGGAACAAGCGGCCACACGGCAAGAAAGAATGCCTCCAGCAGGGCATCGCTCACGGGCTTGGTGGGTAGCGACCGTAGGAGATTAAACATGCCCACAGAGGAAATATGGGGAAGGGGAAGATCCGGTTGGGCGTGCTGGTTTTCGTCAAAGAAATCATCGGTCAGCTTCTCCTACAGGAAGATCAACTGCGGTCAGCCATCTTCTTTCCAAGGGACATATTCGGTCCCAGCTTGCCGTTGCTTCTGTTTTGAAGTCAGACTCACCTTTCCAGCCACGAACCCCCAGAAATTCCAACCAATATATCTCACACGGCCACCTCGTCGTATACTCAAATGATCGCGGCAGATAGGATCCAGGGTCGAGAAATCATTTGTTGATGGCACAGGGGAAGGATCCCGGGTTGCGGAGCTACCAATTTGCGGAACCTTCGCATCGCGACACCTGGGGAGTTGAATCGCCTCTTCCCATGAAGGGACTGTTGGATATGGCTCTTGTCGATGTGGGGACGGACTAGGATTGGAGGAGAACTGAGGACGAGGTCTAGAATGTTGATGGGGATGTGGCGCATGGGCCTCTCGGCCCCAATGGGGCCACGGCAGCTCTGGGCGGGCATCTGTCGTGTCTGTAGTGTCTGTCGTGTCTGTAGTATCTCTGGAATCTCTGGAATCTCTGTCTTGCGGCGACACTTGTCGTACACGGCCGGTGGACTCATCACGGATCATGGCCCTGTAGACACAATTCTCTTTCATGCGCACACAGTTGGCACATTCTGGCTGTTCGCGACCGCAGCGAACCTTGCGTCGTCGACAGACGATGCAGCTGAGCGATAATCGGGGTTTCTTGATCTGGCGGCGTTCGGATAAGGACATCGTTCCAACGGGGAGATAATTGGTAGCGTCCTCGTGGGAGGGGGGTGATGGCTTTATATTGGAATCATCTTAGTTTGTTGCAGAGATGATCGATGTAGCCCCATTGGATGACCTGGGAGTTTTCTCACCAATCATTCCCAAGTGCTAATATTTGAGTCCAAGTGGTTTAACAGAAACAGAAAATCAGGATCAAATGAGCAAGAGATATTAAAAACAAAAGAGCTGTATTCTTCACATCCATAATAGAAAACCTTCGAGGCTATCCATGTCTTCATGGCCTGCGCATAGTAGTCATCGTGATGATAGGGTTTATAGTATATAGTACTTACTTCGAGTGAATTCCAACATGAATAGGCTATCATTAGAAAAAAAAAAAAAGGGAGATGTGCATAGATCCAATGGTTTCCCCGTCCCCAGGGAAGACCTGTATCTGCCGCGGCTTAACATAAGGGAGTGGTGGAACGGTGGCATGTACGTCAATTACGAGAGGAAATGGATGATCGAACAGAATGATTCAATTTGAAATTCCCGGTCGGGGTCATGCGCGAGATAAAGGATCGCCATGTAGAGAACTGAAGACAGGAGCTTCTGCTAGTGGCGACACGTCCTCCCAAAAGCAAATCTCAAGGCCAGGAGCCAATGGCCGTAGCCAATCCGCAGTACAATTGTACATGATGCTTCTGACGCCTGCATGAGCGCTGGGACCTTGGATCTAGGGGCTGTACGGAGTATACTCGGCAGAACGAGAACCTTTGTATCTTCATGAGGGAACGCTCGGCTTGGCTGAGACTCGCAGCTGCTCGGCTCATGGGGATAATTTGGAGTTCTGGCGAATCACCCGATTCCAGAACTCATCTTAAAAGGATACTTAGATTGCGATTTCCATTGCTGACACGCAAGTTTCCCCGTAGCTAGAGGATACTTGCAGATGTAAATAGGGTTACCTCCAAGCCCCCAACCCGGGTGGTTTCGAATCCCTTGATGGGATCTTCAATGGGGCCAATTTTTTCCTGCAAGTGCTTGATGTTCACATGGATGTCCCACAGCTGGGATTGCAACATGGCAATCATCGAATCAAGTCATTCCCCAACATCTGGCTGGTGCTGACTGTCCACCAGCGGGTCCCCATGGGGCTATCTCGATGGAAGCTGCATCGCTTCTCATTACCGATGACGTGGTCAAACGCGAGCCCATCGGTGGGGGCAGTCTTTCTTGCCGGTCATGCCCTTTTGGATGACACCCTCTTCGCCTCCAGGCCGCTGAGGTGGTCGACACGGGTGCCCTTTTTGGTATTTTAGCAACCGGCTTTTTCGCCGGCCCCGGTCCAGTCAACCCTCCTTGTCGAGCGGGATGCCACTCGCTGGTAGCATCATCGGGGGTTTTGAGGTGAGGAAGGTCCAGTGACTCTTGCAGGGCCATATGGTTGTCAGCATCTCGTTCTTGTTTGTGACTTCATGTCACCTGCCACAGTTTGTCTTATCTACTTCCACCCTGCTATTGGACCTCGCGGGCATGTTGTTCCTTGTGACGATTGCATATCTGCAGTCTACCTAGAGGACCCAATTTAGAGAGTCCAGTATTGAGAACCCTGCAATTGAACTTGGTAAAGAGTGATCAGTGGTCTCTCCAAAACCACCCCCACTGGATCCAGATCATCTTCACCCCTTTCGTCAGGCATTGTTACGGAATAAGCTCGTGGTAGTAAAGATGATCATGTTGTGATGGCATAGCTACGTCAGATGACTACTCTGCTTAGTAATATCCTTAGTCATACCCCAGGCCCTTACAGGCATCGCTCTCCGCCAAAGAGAGTGTCACCCTTGGAGCATACTCACACGATTTAGATGGTCGCAATCATATGGAAGTTCAAGTATAGCACAGCAAGGGTCGTTGTATCTTAGCGTCATCGTTGAAGGAGCCATAATTTGGCACCGACCACAGCATTCATCTTGAATCGTAGGAAAGGTGTTGGATGCCTCAGGCATCACATGTAGGATAGACCAACTAAACAGTCTTCCTTCCACTCTCACCTTCTCTCTCTCCCCGTCCATCCAATTGAATACTGTTTTACCTGCATACATACTATCATTGTATTTGCATCAAAAGGAATGTAATCGTTTTCCACCGAGTTGTTCTGATGATGCGCTTCAAGAATCACTAACTGGATGGTATCACTTAGGGACCCAGATTCGTGGTTTAAAGACATGAACAGCCTTCCATCCATTTTTCCCGTTTGAAATGCATCATAGAAAATCTACCAGTAATCCAATTCAACGCTGTTCTAGTTGACAGGATTCCTAATACCCTCTGGCAGGGGACCTTTATGGTAAACAGCCAAAAGGTTAGGAAATAGGAAGAACAGGCAGAGGTCGGCTGGAGATGGTGAATAACAATTTATCTGTCTCATGTGATCGCAGTCGGATTTATGTCTGTCCAGATGACCCTGAATGACAACATAGATCCGCACCGCGGCAAGCACAGTGCCATTCTGATGTAGATCTCTCTGTCTCAAGAGAGAGGAGTATCACCGAAAAAGGATTGACTAAAAGTTCCTGCAGAGAGTGGAATGGCGATCCTTGTTCTCGTTTCGAATGAAGGCATCGAGACACATCCTCTCCAAGAGAGACTCGCCCTGTGGGGAGACCTCGGGAGAATTCCAATCGATTAGTAAGCGACGACATGGACAAGGCCCGATGACTTGCCGAACGAGGACCCTGGCGGCAAACAGGATCAAATTCCCATCGGGTTACATTTCTACATCTCCTTTAATAGACTCCTGTCTGGACATCCTGCAAGGATGAAGATACGTCTTTTGTTGAATTTCGCTCCAAATCTAACTGCTTCTATACATTGAACGCTCATCACGTGGACACAACTCCCCAGCTTCATCAGTCATTCATTGTGGATCGCATTTATTGCTCGTTTGTGAGAACGTAGCGGTAACGAGCATCGCCGTTTTCCATTTTAACGATGGCCTGGTTGGCATCCTTCATGGGACACTCCTGAATCCAAGGCTTGACGCCCTGGGCAGCAGCCAACTCCAACATTTCCCGGATCTCACCTGGGCTTCCGATCAATGAGCCACCGATCTTGAGAGCCTTAGCAATAAGCACGAAAGCCGGGATCTCCAGAGCACCATCCTCGGGGACACCGAGCTGGATGAAGGTACCGTGGAGGCGCAGAAGTCCACAGTACTGAACAATAGGCATCTTGGAAGAGGAGGCAGTGGAGATGATCAAGTCGAGAGAGCTAGCGTGGTGGGTGGCCCAGTCCTCCTCCTCACCGGTAGCGATGAACTCATCCGCACCCAGCTTGAGCGCATCCTCCTTCTTATCAGACTTGCGGGAGATAGCGACGACGCGGTCAGCACCGAGAGCCTTGGCGAACAAAATAGCAAAGTGACCCAGACCGCCAATGCCAACGACTCCAACGGTCTTTCCGGGGCCACAGCCGTTCCGCTTGAGGGGCGAGTAGGTAGTGATTCCACCGCAGAGCATAGGGGCCGCGTCGGCAGAGGAGATGGCATCCGGGATCTTGATCACGAAGTGCGAAGGAGAGCGGTTGTATGTGGAGTAACCACCGTACGACTTGCCACCGTTGGGGTAAATCCCGTTATACGTGCCGACCATCTTGCTGCAGTGTTGTTCGAGACCCGCGGCGCAGGATTCACAGTCTCCATCCTTGTTCTGACACGAGCCGCTCTGCGCGCCAACACCGACACGGTCACCGATCTTAATATCTCCCACGGCCTGGGATCCGACGCGGACGGCAATGCCGACAACCTCGTGGCCGACGCAGCAAGGGTAGTTGGTGGGTCCCTAGGGGAACGGAGCCCGGCGTTAGCAACGTCATTCCACCCCGATCATGTTCAAGGGGGTTGCGACCTACCCAACCACTGCGCAGAGTGTGCAAATCCGAGCCACAGACACCACAGTGAGTGACCTTGATATCGATGTCGGTTTCCTCCCAGGGCTTAGGCTCGAATTCCTGCCAGACCATCTTCCCCTGGGCGGCTTCGGGGCTGAGGCCTACCCAGCCTTCGAACTTGTAATCGGTGGAAGACATAATCGGATGATAAGGTATAAAATGGGTATTAAGATGGGGATTCCCTGGATTCAATGGAGATGATCTACAATTTTATTCCTGCAGGGTCCTCGATTTCTTTTAAACCATTCACGCGGAGAGATTCGGCTCCGCCTCGGAGGGTTTTGCAAATTTCAATTTGTGGCGACGTGGTCAGTGAGGTGAAGAGAAGGTCCACTTGGCCCGAGTGGACAATCTTGGATTGTCCTGGAGTGGGCGGTAATCACGGCCTTAACCTACGTTATTTCCGGCGACGAAATTTCCACTGGAGGCGAACAAGCCCAGGAACCGCTGGAGGAGGAAGGTTGAGAATCAGATCCTGTCAGATGTACTCCGTCGAATCTCCATTTTTAAGCGATTTGATTTCCCCGGGGATGTAAAACGCTTTCTCACATCCCCTGAGATCGGACTTAAAAACGCAAAGCCCCTGGTTTATTATGCCGGCTTATGCCCGGCATCGTGCGTATATCTGGTTAGGGTGATTTTTTTTGGAAAGGATGTTTCAGAAGAGAACGGAACGGATTGTGATTCGAGGACATGTTTTATACTAGTGGGGAATCGTCATAATAATTCATAATAATTCACAATTATTCATTGATCGCCACTGTCATCAAGCTTTCGCCTCCCCTCCATGACCCGAAGAACCCGCTTTTTGCCGGCGGAAATAATACTGAACACAAAGCACTAAAGCAAGAACCCATGAGGCACCCGCAATAGAGCAGATGGCAGTGAGACCATGCAAATACCTCGGGGCGTCGGAAGTGCGAAAAATCTGCGAGCCAGCGATACCGGCACAGTTAGCAGCCATGATGACCAACGCCAGGGCAACGCTACGTTCCTGGGGTGTGCGGCAGTAGAATGACAGCCAGCCGACATTGAGGATACTAGTATTCTGGGTCAGAGCGAGATATGGATACGGGAGGAGAGGAACGTACTGCATGCTGCAATAAGAGATGTTCGCAACGGCAATCACACCATACCGGTGCCACCTCGAAGCGTGGGGGCTACTTGTCCGAAGACAAGCGTAGGAAATCACATTCCAAGTGATCGCCAAGAGCACAAAGGGACCCCGGTGTCTCGTTTTGTCACTGGGAGTAGTTAGAATCTGTTTCACCTGTCCAAATGGTCATCGCAAAGACTCACGCCGCCAAAGACAAGACAATCAGCCAGATCATGCTACAGTAGACCGGAACCGAAGCCAAGGCGTTCGCCCGGACGGCCCCGAATCCGAGCCCTTTGATCATGCTGGGTGTGTATTGGGTCAACCCATTGAAGCCAGTCATCGAGACCAAAGTTACAAACACATGTTGCAAGATGCGCGGCTGCTTGACGGTCTGCCAGATATCCGATCCCGAAATCTGGATGTGGCCCTTGGCTTTGAGGGGGTCATCTAGCAGAACGCGGTTGCGAATGATATGTGACTCGCGCTCCGTGAAGTAGCTCCAGCGACCGAAGGAGATTAATGGACGTCCGTCTCCGGCAGCTGGGGGCACAAGGAGAGTGAAGACGATTGCGATAAACAGGGTGATCAAGCCCTCGACTGGAATGTTTGTTAGACGAGCTCGGCTGGTAGACTGTATGCTCTGATCCGGACTTACCAAGAAAGATCCATCTCCATCCCTCCATCCCATGGGTGCCATTCAGCTGAAGCAGACCGGCAGATATCAAGCTCGATGTAGCCGATGCGAACATCTGCCCATAGAAGAAAAGACTGGTACGAAGACTGGTCTCATCCTTTTTGTACCAAGTGGAGAGATAGTATAGAGCGCCTGCAGAGCGTTAGTCCGATGATCTAGCACAACAGATCTCCATCGATATCCATACCAGGAATAAAGCCACCCTCACAGAATCCCAACAAAATTCTCGTAACCAGGTACGCGGGGAACGACTTTACAAAGGCCTGGAAGGTTGCCACCAACCCCCAAGCGAACAATTGACCTGACAACCAGACACGAGGTCCTATTCGCTGCAGGATGATATTCGAGGGGATCTCTGAAAGAACAATCCCCGCGGAGAGCAGTTGTGATCCGATATTTATTTGGTTTGTTGTGATATGGAGATCTTTGGTGATTGTCGACGTCAAAACGGCACTGATATTGCCGCGATCCATTTGCAAGGCGAAGAAGGCGCCTGCGAGAATAGGAAGGAGGATGAAGTCGATTCTAAGGGGATTGTGTGAGTGAGATGTTTATCGTGCTCAGAACTATACGTACTTCCGTCGAACGGCCGATTCTTCGGTATCCCAGTCTTTGACGATACCATGAACAGACTCACTAGGTGAAGTAATGATCTGCTCGCCTATTTTGTGTTTCTCATCGAAGAAATCTTGATCTGCCATCTTGTGCTTCAGACCTGGAAAAATCTCAAAGAGATCTCAAACAGGAAGTATGATCGATAGGTGAATTTACAGGAATACGGATGATGGACCACTCTTATAGAAAGAAAAATCGGGAGACACCAAGACCTTCTACTGAACAGCTCGAAATGACAATGCATGTGGGTATTTTTTTTTTGAGGATGTCGCGACACGGGGAGATATGGCGCAATCACGATGTCTCTGACGGGATTCGCCGAGGGTTCAGGTTTGGGGATTCGTTTTACGATGGAGACGGAGATTGGTTCTGTCTTTCTTTTTGAGGGGCTCTTTCTTTGACTTTAACGATGGCTGTTATGGCTGTTATTTCAAAAGTCTAGAGCCACGTTGCCGGCTGACCTTTCCGCGTCTATAGCGCCTATCATGGACATTTCGTTCAAAGGAACGAAGTGGATACGATCGTGGCTCCCCGTTTTACAATCTCAAACATCCAGCTTCTTATACCCATACATCCCAAGACACGCCATATCGACTAGTTAACGGCACTTGGGGACCTTCGGCGTCCACGATGTATCCCGCATCACACCAGTCAAAGGAGACCCGAGGCTGTGCGCCATAGAAGCCATCATATTGTGGATGTAAAGCATCTTTGAGCGTACTCACTGGGTCTACCGGTTGGAGAACATCCCAAGGCTCGATGCAAGTCATACCCTGACACGACTTGAGGACCATCAAAAGAGCGTCGAGTCGACTGAGAGTCTGGGATAAGGTGCGACCGAGAATGTGGGGAGCCTCACAGTCCCCCTGGAATGTCGTCGGGTACAGATTGTTCAGCTGGTACGGATCGGTCTTGCAAATGGATTAGTCCTTGCGATGATCCAAACCCAAGGTATCATTTACTCACCGAGAGATCGTACAGTTCGTGTTCATTGTTGCACCAGACCGAGTAGTACAGATTGTAGCCTTCTCCAAGCAAGCGCACGGATTTGTAGGTGTTGTTCGGGATGAGGGTCGAGCCTCCGGGGCCTGCCTTGGAATTAGCATCACGTATTCCGGACCACAAGGTTGCCCGGGACTGACCAAGACCACTATAAGCACCTTCGACCACCGCAGAACCCCAATATTCCACGGTCACATGTTCATGCCGCTCACCACCAAACCCGGGCATCACAGGAATGGCTGTACCATCGAAATCATCCCTGGTCGGAATACCCGCAAGATGGAACAAGGTCGGTGCCAAGTCCACATGAGTAGTCACCGCATCCTGTACATCTCCCTTGGCAACTCCAGGGCCCCGAATGAACAAGGGGACCCGAATATCCTCCTCAAACCCGCAAGTCTTCCCGGGTGGCAGTCTGTGCTGGCCAATGTGGAACCCATTATCCGAGGTATAGATGATATACGTATGATCCAGCTGACCACTCTTTTCAAGGCGAGTGACAAGCCCATCCACTAATTCATCCACACCTTGAAGGGCGCGCAGACGGGAACGATAAAAGTGATCGTGGTAGTCGACCACCGATTGATTCTGCAGAGGCAGATCATGAACCCAGCTGACTCCACTTGGCTGCGCAAGACAAGATCAGTCGGAATGAACCCTCCGAGCCACGTTCCTTTCAATCAAGGCTGCACTTACCTGGTCCGGATTGAAATTTGCCGTGCGAGGCACCGTGACATCCTGGAATAAATGCGTGTGTCGTTGGAGGGGGATGGGTGCAGACATGTAGGTCTTCCCTGAAGCGACATTGCCGGGGTCAATATTTGAGTGCGGCGCGACGGGCGACACCGCCAGGAAGAAGGGCCTCTCCCCGGCCAAGGCATCATCGAGGAAGCCCAGTGCTTTTCCCGTGATCACGTCGATGGTATGTTCACCCTCATGGCTGACCGGTGGTTCGTGGTTTCGCTGATAAGTCGAATTAAGGTACGAATACGTATAAGGATCGAGAAGGAAATCCGATCCATTGAACCCATTGATGTGCGGGCTATGGTAGTTGTCTACGGTATGTGCGTTGAACATTTTGCCAGTGTAATACGTATCATAGCCCGCCCCTTGCAGCCAGAGCGGGAGGAAATCATCATTGAACCCGCGCTCGACAAATTTGGGATATCCACCGTAGGGCGGATTAACATCGGTTACATTGGTGTTGTGTGCCTGGCGACCGGTCCACAGACTCACGCGCGACGGACAGCACAGGGCTGTGGTGACAAAATGGTTGCGGAAAAAAGTGCCCTGGTCGCGAATGTGTTTTGAGATCAGGGGGGTATAGGATATGGAATCCAGTTGGAGGTCTTGGTCGTCGGTGATCACCAAGAGGATATTTGGTTTGCGCGATTGTGCTTGACTGTCTTTCAGGATAGATTGGGCTGATGGCAAGTTGGATTGGGGAGTGAGAGCAGTGACCCCCGCGATGAGGCCGGCAAGGGCAGTGAGTAATCTCATTTTTCCCAACGAGAAAGATGAAGCTGAGTTGATGCAAAAGTCCCAAACGAATCCAAAGCTCTCCATGGAGACGATGATGCCATCGATGGCTTCAATGGCGATCCAGTGGGGCCGATCTCCCGGGGAGCTTCCGGTCTTCAGGTGAATTTGAACAACTCTTTCTCTTGTCCATCGGGTTGCTTCCTGGGGTTCGATGCATCTCTCTATGTTGTACGGAGTAGTCTGATCGTGGATGAGAGTCTCAAAAAGTGAATGGCTTTTCAGCACTTCTATCAAAGTGCCATATAGTTCCCCTGTTTCCATACGTCACGACCACTGGATTCTGCAAGGACATCTCTACACAAGGTGATGTCTGAAAGCAGAAGTTCTGAGTTGGTTCTCTATCAAATGATCGGGTCAACGGTCAACGGTCAAGGGACAGGGTACAGACGATGGAAATCTCCCTGGGGAGACATTCGAGGAGAGTCAAAGACCTTAGATAAGCAAGGCGTCTTATGTAATCCCATCTTCAAGCCCAGGTCCTTCTCTTCTCATCTCATCTACTAGGCCTTACTGGTTTCAGACGTCACAGCGAAAATCTGCAAAGAACGAAGAGCCCAAGACACGGAGATTCGAGATCGATTTCTGTTTCCAAATGTCGATGAAAGTGGATCCCTATCTGATGGCGTGCTTTACAACTCCAATGAGCACACCTGGGCTTCAAAGAGGCAATTAATTATGCCTCTCACGTCCACTCCACATCGATCTCTTTTTATTTCGTTTTGAGAAGATGGCGATAGAAAGCGACACGGTGGAGTCGGTACCCCCAGGTACCATTGTGTCCCAGGGCAATGATCCGGATAGCCATACTCAAGACGAAGAGAGTCCATTACTCCCGCGACCTGACACGGAGACTGAGCTCAAGGCGGTGGCCGGTGTTGGAACGATTATCGCGGTGCTTCTGCTCGGTAAGAGATATCGTCATACACGATGACGGAAGATCTAATCGAATGTAGGTGAATTTGTTTCCAATGCCGATGCGACACTGGTCATGGCCGCGGCGGGCCGCATCTCCTCCGAGTTCAACCGTCTACGCGACGCTAGTTGGCTCTCGACGGGATATACACTGGGTGTTTGTGCTGCACAACCAATGGTGAGTCAGCATCAACACCGCATCGGAGATGTCCCAAGGTCTCACTGTCGTTTAGTACGGAAAATTGAGTGATATCTACGGCCGCAAGCCTATGTTGCTGCTCTCATATCTGTTATTTGCAGTTGGCTGTTTAATGAGGTAGGGAAAGTCCTTATCTAGCGGCCAGAACAACAATTCTGATCACACATAGTGGCCTCGGAACCAAGATGTGGGTGGTGGTTTGTGGTCGCACGATCAGCGGAATGGGCGGTGCAGGAATCATGACGATCAGCTCCATCATCATCACAGACATCGTGCCCAAACGCGAGGTCGCTGCTTGGAGATCATATGTGAATATCGCTATGACATTTGGACGCAGTCTCGGGGGTCCATGGGGCGGTTGGCTGAGCGATACAATCGGATGGAGATGGTGAGTCGAGACTGATCTGACAGCTGCATCTACTATCGAATCTAAACTCTCTAGGTTGTTCATCCTTCAAGCTCCGTTCCTCGCTTTGGCTGCCGTTCTTGTGATCATGAAACTGCATGTCGGTGAGAAGCCACAAGCCACCTCCAAGGAAAACAAACTTGCCAAAGTTGATTTCCTCGGAACGGCACTAATAGGCTCGTCTATTGTCGCCATGACCACACTGCTCGACCAAGGCGGGAAATCCTTTCCATGGAGATCATGGTGGACACTCCTTTTAGCCAGCGGCGGAGTCTCACTCCTAATCGCCTTTGTGCTTGTGGAAGCTTACGTTGCTCGCGAACCGATATTCAACCTTCGCATTCTGCGACGCACAAACGTCGCCATGGCATACATCATCGGCGCACTCCAGGTAACCGCGCAACTGGGATTAATGTTCTCCGTCCCCCTCTATTTCCAAGTCACCCAGCGCGCATCAATGACGGCGGCGGGCGTGCATCTCATTCCAGCAGTGGTGGGAAACACTCTTGGCGGACTACTTGCAGGAACTTTGATCCGGCGCACAGGACAGTTCAAAATCCTCCTCGTCCTCGCGGGCCTGGTTGCCGGCATTTCCTATGTCCTCCTCTACCTCCGCTGGGATGGACACAGCGGCTTCTGGGAGTCACTATTTATTTTCCCCGGCGGATTTGGGACAGGTATCGCAGGAGCGTCCTCATTTATTGCCATGTCTGCAATGCTACCGGCGGAGGATATCGCCATGGCGACGGCGGGATATATGCTTGTTGCAGGATTCTCCATGACGGCTGGTGTGACTACATCCAATTCTGTTCTGGGGATGGAGTTCCAGCGGCAGCTAAGGCTCAATGTTCACGGGCCTGGGTCTGAGAAGGTGAGTCCTTTCTTGTTAAGGACTTTCACGCCTTTGTGCTAATGTTTTTAGGTTATTCAACGTGCGATGGCGGATACCAATTATATCGCGCAACTAAGTGGCCAGCTACGAGAGATTGTGGTGGCTTGCTATATTTCGGGACTCAAGCATACGTATCGTGAGTTGGCTAATTTTCTTAAATTGGGCATTTTCCACTAACATGCTGCAGTTTTTTCCCTTGGTTGTTCGCTTTTGGCGTCATTCACTGGGCTTTTTATTGTGCGCCATCAAATCTAGACTTCACTATAACATCGGACCATCTTCGGTGTGGTTATAAACAGATCAAATATAGTCAGAGAATGCATAACAAGAGAGAGCAATAATCAAAAAGGATCACGTTAACCGCCATTTTTCCCTCGCGGTTCTTCTGGCCTGTCATCTGTTTCACATATGTCCCAGGTCTAAACTGCGCACCCAATGCACTTGGTGTATAGGATTTCGGAACTGTATTTTGCCAACATGAAGAGACTACCTGCTAGGGTAGATCTCCCTTTGAATATCATGGCACATAGGCATGCAATGACCAACGGGTAAGCATCTCATCAAATCTCCTACTCTATGCAAGAACCGATTGCTTACAGTTCATGCCTGCCTTAGTTATGGTCGAGGTAATGCTTCAATAAATAATTACTGTCATGCTACTATTCTAGTCCGATAGAACGACCCAACCACGATCGGCAGCAGAGGAGTCTAAGCTCAAAGCCTACCATAGCAGGGAGAAGGTAAGAGGGCGAAACTTCTCGTTCCCACTATCTTGGATCCATTCAATGGGCGTTGTCACCTCCAGGTATTGTTAACCGTCACAGCTGTGGCACCACAGGTGGCGGGAACAGTATACGACAGGTTCGGGTCACTCTCCCACGTAATCGTTCCATCACTCACTACCCGAATAAACTTATAGGTGAAGCTAATGCCCGCTGGAAGAGTCACAGTCACGAACCATAGATGGTTGCTGGTAGTGTATGAAGAAGCGCTCAGCGCAATAGCACTGCTTGGGGACCAAGAGCCAAGCTCAGAGATAGATCCAGCAAGCTTGATGTTTTGGCCATATAAAGTAGTGGCAATCACGTTGAAGGTCACTGCAACAGCAGTTGGCGTGGTGCAAGATGTTATCGTTGAGGTAGTCTTCGTGGCAGGAGTCGTCTTGGTGGTAGTTGCACCGCCTGATCCGGTCGTAGTTCCGCTGCCTGACCCACTCGTCAAAGTGCTGGGCCAGGCAGTGTTGGTGGCACTGCTGAAAGTACCAACAGCCGACGTATATTGACATTGTCCAGGAACGCTGCTGGCAGAAGTTTCACCCCATGGTGCAGGAACGATGGCATTCCGACGTTCGTTGGCGGTAAGTAGGGCTGCGTAGGACCAGGTCAGGTCACGGGCTGAGAGTTGCGAGCCATCGGACCTGGAGAATTGCTCGGACAAGGAGCCACTGGAGGGAGCGTATGTTTCCTGGGATATATGTCAGTCGGGGTAGCCCACAAGAGATAGTGTTTCGCACCATACCACAACACGAACGTATCCATCTGCATATGTCTTGACAGCACTCACGATCGAGGCGTACGTATCACTAGAAGAGGAGTAGGTACCAGGCGCAGCGGAGCTGTACAGATCCTTGAAGAAGCTCAAAGAGACAGATGTGATTGTCAAAGAACCGATCTGGTTCCACGTGTATATAGCATCATACAACTGCTCGGCTGCAGCCAAAGTGCACAGGTACCAAGGATTACCATTGTAGTAGGAGTCCTCTGGGTATCGACCAACAGACACAGCCTTGCCCGCAGCGATACCAGAGTTGAGAGAGTAGACCGACCGGAATGAATCAGTCACAACTTTGTGGTTCGCGAGTGCACGAGCTGAGCAAGGCTGGAACGTGGTGTCATCACATCCTGCCTCCGGGTCAAAGGTTTGAATACTGCCAAGCAGGGTGTTGGCGTCTTTGCCAGAGCGGCCACCACCAAAGTTGGCCAGAATGTAGGATCCAGTCCAGAAGGATTGTAAGAAGCATAAGACCTGCGGAGCCTGAGAGTCACAGGACGAACATGAAACCCCGACTTGCCTTGCGAACGTGCTTCCCTCCACCAAGGCGCGGTGCTGAGCCGCGATGGTAAAGAATGACGAGCCGGAAACTTCCTCCCAGAGATCTCTAGGGGGTCAGCAATGTGCATCACTACAATCCAAGGTACACTTACCAAATCCGGTCTGATTCCAGTACTGGGCAACATAGGAGAGATCGTTGCGTACAATGGGCCAGACAATGTTGGTCGCATAGGTGGTGTATCCATTATCCTAAGTGGATGAGTCAAGCCGTGGTAACGCGAAATGATTCAAAATTCATACCATAAGCCATTGGCCAAACGAAATCAATGCAGTGGCTCGCAAGGCTGGTCCATCACGCTGGGGGCGACCCCAAGAGCCTGTGAAAGCTGTCTCATCGGTATTGAACTTGGGCTCGCCCAATCCACCGCCACCCGAAAGATCTCCAGAGGGATTTGACACCGTCTGTATGTAGGCCTGCGCATTGATGTATTCTTCAATCACATCTAGCAAAGCGCTGTCGCCGTTCTTGAACAGATCGATCAAAGTTTTGAACACCAGGGCCGAGTCTCGAGTCCAAGTATAATAATCTATAGACTCAGTTAGTTTTCAGTTTGACTAACAGCTGCGTGATAGCTTACAATTAGGGTTAGAGGTACTCGGGCTGGCGACTACAATGCCTGGCTTTGCATTCGCAGCATAGGCACCAGCCGATCCGATGTTATTCAGAATACCCTGCCTTGCCACCACGCGTTCAGTCGCCAACCAGATATCCAAACTTCCTGTCGCACGAGGGGCCAATATCTGTTGCACGGCCATGACGACCTGGCCAAGAGTAAGCGCCCAAAGCGCAGCCCAAAAAAATCGAACCATGATGGGGTTAGGAGGTAAGTTGGTTTGGTATCATCGTGGAGGTCAAACGTGCTTTTTATAGGGGCGGGCAGGTAATGCAGAGGACTTGAGCTACTGAAAATGCACTCGGTCGCAACTCCTAAATGGATTGATGCACTTGCGTGGAACTTGCATGGAGCGTGCATGATATTGCATGATACTGCATGATACTACACTATTGCAGAAGAAATGGGCTCCGGGAGTCTCGGAGAAATGCTGTTAGAAAAGAACATCGGCATTTCCCTGCTTCACCGTTAGCTTGGGATCTGATTATAGCGCTATTGAAGAGCTTCATTCTGGATTCTGCAAGTTTCAAGGTCGTGTCTCTCTTCAGCAGGCGGGTCGAACATCTCCCGAGACACATGTGAGGTCTTATTTTCCGATTATTGATCTCCACCTCAATCGCTCAGATTCGCACGTTAGTTACCCTCAAGAAGATTCCCAGTCTTTATCTCTGGCATTTGACCCCGTTGAATCTCTACCCCCGGTCATCCTTGACCGCGGAGTCCGGGGGGGGGGCTGGCTGATGGCGACCAATCAGCCCGTTGAATTATCTCCGTCAACACGCTAGGCCTGACTTGAAACGTTCTTTTCGGCGAGAAATGAGTGACTTGTGAGATTGATACGACCTTGCTTGCTTTCTTGTCTTCCAGGTTGTTCTGGAGATGTGGGACTGTACCCAATCCCGCAGATGGGCAAAGCTCCGGAGAGATGGACCTCTTTAAGACTGGTGCAGGACCTAGTGTGACAAGTATCCTGCAGCTTCGGAGCTGCCTCTTTTGCCGGAGAATTATCAGCTTTTCCCTCGGTGCATTGACTTGATATCTCGGTCCACCGGAGTAGACTTCAAGGAATTTGAAATTTTTACGTCTGGTGCGTCTAACCGATTGGATTGGAACTATGAATGGCTTTTTCGATTTCGGATTTCCAAACAAAGGTCCATCTTTTGCTGATCCGGATGATATGGCGGTCATGTGCAGCATGCAAGTAGAAGCTATACAACATAAATCAGGTCTGACTGCTCCCCCGGTTGGTTTATCCAAGAACCACATCCTCGATAACACAATCAGTCCTGCTTTGCTCATGGCTGCAAACCTGAAGAGCCTCACATTCATAGCAACCACACTACTATGGCAGACGGCTATGGGCCTGACCCCCACGGAATGGCGCAGTCAATCAATCTATTTCCTGTTGACTGATCGCTTCGGACGCAGCGACAATTCATTAACTGCTAGTTGCAACGTTTATGACAGAGTATGCACATTTTTTGGCGTGGATTTTCGATCGATGCACTCATAACGCGTACTAGATTTATTGCGGTGGCAGTTGGCAGGGTATTATCAACCAAGTATGCGTCAAATCCTCCGTACAAACTGCCTATACTGACTTGACTACCAGTTGGATTATATCCAGGGAATGGGCTTTACAGCCATTTGGATCACTCCAGTAACAAAACAGCTCCCGCAAAACACCGGCGATGGTATGTCCTATCATGGGTACTGGCAGCAAGATATGTACGGGTATTAAACGGTTGATTCCGAGAGTTTTGCTCATTGTCTTAACTAGATACAATGTCAATCCAAACCATGGCACGTCTGATGATCTCTTGGCACTCTCAGAGGCACTGCACGAGCGAGGCATGTATCTCATGGTTGACGTTGTGGCAAACCATATGGTACATTATCTTGAACAATTAGGTGGAATCTTTCTAATAAGCCAATAGGGATACGCTGGAGCTGGAAACACTGTGGATTACAGTGTCTTCACTCCCTTCAGTTCTTCGTCTTACTTCCATCCTTACTGCTTGATCAGTAACTATAACAATCAATCCGACGTCGAGAATTGTTGGCTTGGCGATACCACTGTATCGCTCCCCGATCTCGACACACTCCAGAGCTCAGTGCAGACACTCTTGAACAATTGGATTGGGGATTTAGTGTCAGTTTACTCCAGTAAGTCTAATAATTCATGTCAAAAATCCGGCCTAACATTGTCAGTTGATGGATTACGCGTCGATACCGTGAAGCATATCCAGAAGTCTTTCTGGCCTGGATTCAATGCTGCTGCAGGCATCTATGCTGTCGGAGAGGTCTTCGATGGAGATCCAGCTTACACCTGCGACTACCAGAAGTACATTGACGGTATCTTGAACTATCCCATGTGAGATGACTGCCATCCGGCTTCATAGAGAGAAACTAACCATCTAGCTATTATCCACTTCTACGTGCATTCCAATCTTCTAGCGGTAGCATTAGCGATTTATACAACATGATTGGTATTGTAGCATCTAAATGTGCAGATCCAACCCTGCTGGGTAATTTCATCGAGAATCACGATAACCCACGTTTTCCAAGGTGAGATATTCTATCTTCTCCGAAATACATGACACTAACTACATTCTCTCATAGCTACACTAGCGACTACTCACAGGCCAAGAATGTAATCTCGTTCATCTTTTTTTCAGACGGCATTCCCATTGTATACTCCGGCCAGGAACAACACTATAGTGGTGCAAATGACCCAGAAAACCGCGAAGCTATCTGGCTGTCGGGATACTCCACTACCGCAGAGTTATATCAATATATCGCAATCACGAATGACATCCGCAAAGCGGCGGTTGCAGCAGACCCCAGCTATCTTACGACCAAGGTACGGATTATTTTAAAGCTATTCTGGTGAGGCACGCTGACACATTCTAAGAATGTGCCCTTCTATCAAGACAACCATACACTCGCCATGAAGAAGGGATCGGACAGCTCGCCAGTCATAACGATTCTTTCCAATGCCGGGTCATCCGGACCCTCCTACACATTGTCTTTAAGTGGCAGCGGGTATTCATCAGGTGCGAAGCTGATAGAGTTGTACACCTGCACGTTTATAACGGTGGATTCCAGCGGTAAAATCGCCGTGTCAATGGCATGCGGACTACCACGGGTTCTTATTTTTGCATCCTCCATGAGCAATAACGGGCTATGCGGCGTATCCATCCCCAGTGCTACAGCTACCACCACAACTCAGACCATTGCTACGACGACAACCACTACGGGGGCGAGGTGCATCCAAGCCACTGCCCTGCCGGTTCTATTCAAAGAGGTTGTGACTACTTCTTATGGCCAGGAGATCTACATCTCCGGGTCAATCCGCCCACTTGGCACCTGGGACACGAGCAAAGCCATCGCACTGTCTGCAAGCAGCTACACTTCTTTCAATCCCTTGTGGGAAGCGACTATCATCCTGCCCGTCGGAACAACATTCCAGTATAAATTCCTTAAGAAGACGATCAGATCTTCAACTGTGATGTGGGAAAGCGATCCCAACCGGTCGTATACGGTGCCAACTGGGTGTTCTGGAACTACGGCCACTGTGACAGCGAGCTGGAAATAAAAACCTGAAAAGTGATGCTGAGGATAGACTTTGCTTGGAGATAAATTCACGCCTCAAAATTTGTAACTCTCACTGACAACTAACCGGCCCCTGAAATTTTTTTTCAAAAAATACGGACCATCGCAAGCGAGGGTCTGCCACCTATTTGCAATACACCACCTAAATGCAAGTTTTTTTTTCCTTTTTTTTAACCGCCATTTACCACCCTACAACATAGTAATTAAATTAATTAAAAATAAGAAACAAATTCACTGACCAATTTAATACTAGAATACAAATTCAATTCAATCTCCCCGGCGTTTCTTGGCTCGTCCGTGCTTCCTGATTTCGATCAACACCTTCTTCCACTTCCGCCTCGTTTTGTCTTGATGGGCTTTTTCACTCAATTTGTATTCTTTATACTTCATTTCTTTGACTTGGGTGGAATTGATGATACCGGTGATCGGTATATGACGGCGAGAAGTGTCATACCTAGCATGGCGTGCCCCCATAATAGCTTGTGTTTGGTCGAACTCCCGCTGTAGCTGGAGAGCTAGTATAACCTGCGCTTCAGTCCCCTTTGCAAGCTTTGCAAGCTTTGCAAGCCCTTCTTTAAAGCGCTGTGTGGTAGGATCGTATTGGTTTAGCCGGTAGCTAATCCTTCGAATCCTTTCAGCGGTTTTTGGCGTACTAAACTCGGTATTTTGGGAGGCAATTGAAGGTGTATTTGACTGGGGTGAATTGTCATCGAATGGATCGTATGACTCTAATTCATCGGTAATCAGCTTGGAATTAATAGGCCAAAGGCCAGTTAATTTAAACCCAAGCTTAATAGTATGTGGCCGGAAGGTTTTACGCCTAATTTCGCCAATTGCGTATAGGAATTCATCCTTCGAAAAAGTGCGGCATCCAGTCATTGTAGCCGCTTCAACAGCCTCACTATGCCAGTGCTTATACACGCTTAACACGCCGACATCGAGAGGTTGTAGTATATGGCTAGTATGCGAGAGTAAGAAGAACAATATGATGTTGTTCTTCTCACAAAATTGTATAAATTGGCGTGTTAAATGTGATCCAAAACGGTCACATAAAACAAGCCTTTTTGTACCAATTGTACGGCCAATTGTCCACTTATGGAATAGCTGAATCCATTGATATGCTAAAGTATCATTGATATAACCGGTATCGGTTACAGCTAGATGCTCATCGCTATCAATGGCGTCAAACCAGGGTAGTAATACCTGCCTAGCGCTTAGAACTATAAGCGGCGGGCAGACAAAACCATCTGCTGAAACAGCCTCCAAAACTGTAACAGACTCTCGATTGGTAACTGAGCCGTTACATGGCTTCTTTTTTGGGTGCCTTGTAATGATAAATTGGTCTCGTCCAACACCAATTTGAAAGCCGGTTTCGTCGAAATTGTAGATGTCTTGTTGGCAAATCCCATGCTCAGTGATAACTTGCTTGTAGTCTTCAAACCACCTTTCAACCACTGATTTATCAAGTGCAGTAGCTCTTTCGATATCAAGAGCTCGCCGGCGTCGTACATAGTACTCAGGGTGTCTTTTCAGGAAACGTGGTAGCCAGTGGGCACCAATTTGTGGAGCAGGCGTAGTGGGATCGGTATGGTCATTCTCAAGAATTGAATCGGCAGCAATAGCAATTTGGCGTCGGTTTATCGATGCTCCGACCGTGTCAAAGTAATCAATATAATCACATAAAGCCTGCTCTTGTTCAGGATTGAGCTTCCTACCATTAGGTGCTCGTTGAAAAAGGGATTTTCCACCTTTCCATCGCCGGCGTAGTCGGTGCATAGGAACCGCGAATTCTCGCGCAGTTTTCGTGATATTGGGCTTTGTCTGCTCAGATAGAGAATCGAGAGCAAGCTGAAGCTGTTTCTCTATGTCTTTATTGGTTTTAGGCATTCTTGGTGGTGTGGTTGACGATCAAAGTAAAAGAGAAAAATGTGAAAAAAAAAAACTTGCATTTAGGTGATGTATTGCAAATAACCGGCCCCTGAAATTTTTTTTTCAAAAAAATATCGCTTGCGAGGGTTTGTATGTTGTAATTTTTGTAAAAAAATGTAAGGGCCGGTTACCCATCTTTTAAAAAGCGCACCCCTGCAGAACAAGTCTAAATCCCCCCCCCCCCCACAAAAATTGTTCTAGCTAGCCCACGTATCGTTCAATTCATATAATCATACTTCATCAAAATTGGGATCAGACACATTTGCATTCCCATTCAAATGTGGAAGGCAGCAGGATCCGCCATAATCTGCTCATAGCTATCCTGACGAAAGGTATCCGGCAAGAGGGCACCATGATCAATGAAGAAATTCATCAGCGACTGATTGTTACCCCATGGTGGCCACTCCATATAATCTCCAGCATTTGCATTTGGGTCCTGTTCATACGCAAACGACAGGAAGTATGAATGCAAAGATTTAGATCCGTAGTTTGGCAGGATCCCATATAACACCTGGACAACATCGGATCCGTGGAAGGTTCCCAGGAAGGGAATGCCACGGTCGTAAGATGACAGGTAGGACCAAGAGGGAACATCTGGTTTCGCTTTCTGGGTGTAGCTTAAGAAACCCCGGCGGGTGAGGGTAAAGGTTAGATCGCCCAGGATGGCTGCCAGTCGTTTATATTGTGGGTACCAGTTATAAAGGGATCCCGTGCGGAAGGGTGAGCCGTCCTCTTTGAAATCGTGATAGGTGGCAACGAGATCTGTAAGCTGTTGTCGCGAGGCATCAAAAAAGAATAGGTTCTGTAGATAATCCACGACTTGATCGGTTGTTGTCAAGTTGCTTTGAAATAGAGCAAAGATAGTCCCCTCATCTTCTTGGTCGCCGACAATGAATGGCACCGGGGCATATTTGCCCTGGAGGACTAGTTGGTCCGGTGATTCAGTCAAGACCGTGCCATCTGGGCGAGGTAAATACGACTCAGCGACCGAATTATAACCCAAGATGCCCGGGACCGAGTTGGCAGCGTTGAGAAATTTGGTATAATCCAGTTCGCGTAAACATTCGAGCGTATCATTGGCGCCGCGGCAGCCAGCGTTCTTAACGACAGTATCATACACAGCTTGGCCTTTCGTGCCATTGACCGGATTTGCAGGTACCATGCTGCCAGAGTTCATGATGGCACCGCGGAAAAGTGGTGCACCGTTGTACGTATGATCGCCATCATACATGGCCATCTGGTCAAACACGGAGATGGCGCCAGCAGATTCACCCCAAATGGTGACCTTGGATGGATCTCCCCCAAATGCGGCAATGTTGTCTGCGACCCATTGTAAAGCAAGACGCTGATCCAGAAGTCCTAGATTGGCGGACCGATCTTTCTGGATCTCTGCGCCGGGCAAAAACCCGAACCCTCCAAGACGGTAGTTCATGGCGACAAAGATGACGGGCATCCCCAGCTTTACAGAAGCTGTCACAAAGTTCGATCCATCATAGATTGCGGTGGAACCTTGTTCAAAGCCACCACCAAAGATCCAGACCAGCACCGGTAGCTTTGCGTTTGACTTGGTTCCAGACGGACGACGCACATCCAGAGTCAAACAGTCCTCGCCAAAATTGGCAATCTCCTGGAAGATTGGAACATTAGTGAGCTTCGCGATTATCGAGCTAGGAATGTCTCTTTTGTCGGTGCTGAACAGGAATTGCGGGCAGGACTTTGCAGCAGACGTAGCCTTGATGGTCCCAAGGGAAGTTTGAATAGGTTGAGGTGGTTTCAACCGAAGAGGGCCAGTTGGTGGCAGTGCGAACGGGATGCCATTGAACTTATCAATCTTGTTGAGACCAGTGAAGCCAACAACAGTGGCCTTGGCCTTGGGAATGACAACGGTTGGGTTAGCTGTGGCTGCTTTCTTTTGCGCAGGCACGGCGCAAACCAGAGGCAAAACAGACAACAAGATCAGTTTCAAAATGCAAGTCATTTTGGTGATTCTCAACTTTCGATAGAAGAGGATTCAACGTATCGGTAATTGTATTTCCCCGGTGGCCCGCAATCCTCGTGTCGAGTGGGCAGCGAAGGGTATATAGATAAAATGTCAGTTTTCCCACAATTTGCTTGTCCACAAAAATCTGGATGGACATGTTTCACAATTTCATAACTCGAAGCACAGGAGAATGTCTCTCAAGTTGAATTCCACTTTCCGTCTGGCACTCGGTATGTCCTGCCGATGATTGTGTGGAGAAGGCATTGCTGTAATTCAAAGCGGTAGATCAACAGTTGCACTGATCCGGTGATAATGTAGTGTAGTGTAGAGCTCTTTCTTATATCTTCCATTCAGGGCATCGTGAAGGGGTAAAGGGCATGGTCACAAAGATGCAACCACTGTGCTTGGATATTTACAAGGAGGGTTGCAAGTGGCCGAGAGGAATGCACGTCGGACAAAGAATGCTCTGGTCAACCTCACTGGATTGATGCAAGGGGTGCACGTCGGAGATTTAGCCAATTCCCACAATGACCTAAGCCAAGGTTGCTCTTTCAAAAGAACAAGTGTGCCTTTCTAGGCTAAAGTGTTGAGAAGTTGGGAAATCTCACCGAGTGAACTCAGTGGCTTGATTTTGACCTCTTAGGTTGCTTCTATATCAGCAAGTCTGCTTGAGGTGAGGGCAACTGTGAAGTGGTCGTGTTGCCTGGGAAAGCCCTCACATCTGTCTTAGTCGCTCTCTCACTGTCGGAAGATACGATGGCTGCGAGGGGAAAACGACTTCGCAGTCGGAAAGAAAGGCTTGGAGATTCATAAGGGAAAATAGGGCTTTTTTCACATGCTCTGCCAACTCTGGATATCGTGAGTAGACCTCCGCAAAGCCCAAAAAGCCCAAAGCCCAACCCAGCCCCATTTTGGGCTGGGCTTTGGGCCCTACCTTCAGACCCACCGATGGGCCAAAGGCCTAGGATAAAAGCCCACTAGGCCGCTAAGATCGCTTATATCACAGTATATAATCAAGTCATAGTTGACTAAGGATAAACTAAGCTTAATAATATGTGATTGTTGTCTTCAAGACTATCGTTATCAATTTCTATTAGATCCCAAGAACTACCACCCTAGCGGTTTACCTCAATAAGAGCGTAAGGTAATAGTATAGTGTAGGATCATAGAAGTAACATAAGAAGATAAGAGAAAAACAATGTTGTATGGGATATGATTGTTTACTACGTTTATCTTCTTTTACGGACTTAGGCCACCGAGATCCCTAGTATTGTCTATAGGCTAGTGGCATATATCGAGTACAGGCCGGAACATACGTAAAAAACAGTCATTATTCAGCTATTTTATGTATGCTAAGACCTAGTCATGCGTAATCATGGGCTTTAATGGGGGTCTTATGGGTCCCCATTGATGGGCTGTTGGTTGGGTTGGGCTTCGAGGGTTGGGCCTATAGCCTACTGAGGGTTGGACTTTGGGCCCGGCTCCCGGGCCCATTCATAGGCTTTGCGGAGGTCTAATCGTGAGCTTCACATGCGCTATATACTGCACTGCAGTCATTCCGGAGACACAGCCAGAGTAGCGGCAAATCATGAAGAAAGTGGCATCTCACTTAAATTCAACTTGGATACTATCACATATAACACATGCTTCAGGTGTTTATATTGGCTCCTCTCTCGTGATAAACTCAAGAACTCGACTTGTTTGTCTCCAACTACGAAACTATCCGAATGATCTAGGAATTGGTTCATGCAACGATATCCCCTTCTGCGTACAATATTCCGTGAGAACACGTTTGAAGTCGTGGGGAAACCGTCCAACATCTAGGGGAGATGGGCCATTTTCCTTGCCATAACCTGACCAAGAGCGGACTGTCGAGCACTGGATGACACGCCCTTGCACAATGGGCCATGGCGATGGAGATATATCAGTCAAAGTCAAATCTGCCATTTTCAAGACTGGAAATTCGTCACAGGGACTTGGCAACAATCCAGCTTGTTAGGCAAGCCGTTGTTTTTCCAGATGAAGACATTTACCATGATGCCAGCCGACGGTATCGATTAGCAAAGTGTACCGTTCCTTGGTGGCAGTCACAATCTACTTGCCCTGCAATTCATTGAATCCCGGCTCGATTCTCGACCCTCATTTCCCCTGCCACAACGTTTGAAGTGATTCTCGCGGCTTAGGTGTGTTGATCACGTTCTTAGTTTCAGCAAACATACCACCCGTGATTTCATTGACAGGCTGATGCAATCAGAACTTGTGCGGCAAACGACACCCGTTGAGTTGCTTGAAGCTTTTCCCATTCTCGAAGCCAAGATAGACAAATTTGATATGGGCACTATGAAAACAGGGATTCGCCCCATCGGCAACGTATAAGGTGTAGTTTATTCCCCATGCATTAGCCACTTAACATGGTGAACTGCACAAGCGGGAAAAAAGCATTTACTCGGGAAAAAAAAGTCAACCGACAAGGAGCGACTGAAAACGGGTTCAATGATTGGATTTTTATCATGATGGTTGATATTTAAGAAACTAACACGTTGCTTTGTGTGGTATACAGTCCGGCCGTGGACACTGTCCTTTCCTTGCATTACGACTCTTCATCGGATGACAGAAAATCGTTCTTTCGGATTTAGATCGAGCATGGGACCTGCCTGACCAGATTCATCGACACGATCCTATCGGTGCAGTCAATTAGACTTTCTTCTAAGAAGTGCATGTGTGCGTCGGCACGAACGGGGTAAGATTAAGGTAGTCATCTCGGCGATCTGAGTTGAAATCAAATAATGGGGTAATCTGGGCCTGGTGTCAGGACTGTCGGTCAAATCCCGAAATTTGCCAGATACTTTACAGGGAGCGCATATGATCTTGTCGTTCCCTTCAAGGCGACCAAGCCTGCATAATCCCAATCATACTCTGACAATGCAATAATGCTGGTCTGCGTGGTCACGCGATCGGACGCATATCCTCTCAAGAAAACAGGTAATCTAAGTCAACCTGCCATGATATTATCGTCCAATCAAAAGAGAGTTGATTGGAATGCGCAAAGACCCGATGGTCAATGCAGAGTAAACGGGCAAGGATGTCTGCAATTTGGTTGCATGGGACCTTTGTGACGCGGCAGATGTACCAAAGTGAGCGATGAGTCAGCGAAATTGATAAAATTCCCAATGATCGAGGATTCGGCCGTGGATTTCGAGTGTGGGTGTCACGGCACCTCGCGAGTTCTTGGTATCGCACCCATGAACACTTTAGACATAGCGGTCGGCCGGGTGATAGCCATTCATATTAAACACCAAGGCTCTGATGGTTGCCAAGCTTGAAATTTGCAAGATGGTAGCGACTGTTCGGTGCGGATATTATCAGCATACAGTAGTGAGACAGACATGCGATGTGATAATCGTTGGAATATCTGAGCATATACTGGATGGTCTAGAAGGAATTAGGAAGCTAACTCAGGATGCCTAATCTCATGAGACTCAGGAGGGGAATCAGCAGCGTCCAATAAGTATTCAGGTATTCAGCTCGATATTTGTGAGGTTATAAGAATCCAATACACCGACGGTACAAGAAGTTGCCAATGCGCGAATGCAGTTTGTAAAAGAGTCAAGTAATAGATGGCATACCTGGCCTAATCACACCATAGTCTCAGCTCTCCGGGGGGGGAGAAAGAGTAGTGGCACTTTGATTCTGAGTCTAATCAGTTGAGGCCCCCGCATTGTTGCCATTGAGATAAAGAGTTCTGTGATTGGTCTGGGCCCATGTGCGGGATATCAAAGATATCAGTTATCGCACTCAATTTTCAGCCTTTCTTTACTATAATTGGGTTGGCAGGGTGGCCAAGCAGACAGGGTTACAATGTACCCTACCAGCCAAGTGGCATGGCGCGGGGAGATACTCGGCCAAACCGTGCCAAGACATATGCCAAGCCACACTAAGGTTACGCCAAGTAATACAGAGTGGATACCAAGTTAGGGGCCTAAGCCCACATCAGCTGTTTGATTGGACGATCCAAGTCTCGTTGGCCCATTAGCCTTCCGGGATCTTTTTTGCTTTTGAACAGCTGGAACTTTGCTTATCTCGTACAGGAAAAGTGGTCAAGCCCGGGTGAAGCCGAAGCTCCCCATTGGAGATTTAGATTCCAACAGGCTCAATCTGGAAGACGCAAGGTCTCTTCCGGTTATGGATGGATTTTGCCTTGTCCGCCATCCGCTATCCGCCGCGTCCCAATGCAGACATTGACCCGGATTCTAGAATAAGAGAACGGGGGAAATGAGTAGTGAAACCATAGCTAAACGGTTCTGCTAATCACGCCATGGGCCATATAATTGATTCGGCATATCACCCCGATAGGGTCTCTGTCTTTCTTTCTTTCTTTCTTCCTTCTGTTTCACCCCCCATATCTGTAGTAGATCCCAGAACCGCCAATATGAATGACAGCGATCCTATGGATGTGGTTGAGGTTGTCAAATCCAAGGCAATCTCACACGATATCAGTGTCAATGAGAAGGTCCCAGTGGTTGACGAGTTGACCATCGACAATGCCCCTCCCCTGCGAGAAGTGTCAATCGAAGGTGATTCTGTGGATAAGAGCGCTCCTACCGCGGAAGAACTTGCCACTTTACGCCGTGTTGCTGGCGATCTACCCGTGGCATCATATAGCGTTGCCTTTGTGGAACTGTGCGAGCGTTTCTCGTACTATGGCACCACTGCTGTTTGTACGGACTGTCAATCCTTGAGAGAGGAATAATGGCTAACCTGAATTAGTCGTCAATTTCCTTCAGCGACCTTTGCCTGCTGGATCCTCCACCGGTGCCCTAGTTCCAGGTGTTTCCGACTGGAGTAATGATTCCCCCGGAGCTCTGGGTATGGGCCAACAGGCCTCTACCGGATTGACGTTGTGTGAGTGAAAGTGGTATTGATCGTCAAGTTCCATGCTGATGTACCTTATTTTTTCACAGTCAACTCTTTCTGGTCCTACATCATGCCTCTCTTTGGTGCCATGGTTGCTGATCAATGGTGGGGTCGGTACCGCACCATCATGTCCGCGATTGCCTGCGCACTCATTGGACACACTATTCTCGTCATTTCTGCCATTCCCAAAGTTATCGATAGCCCCAACGGAGCGATTGCATGCTTTTCTATTGGCCTTATTATCATGGGTATAGGAACTGGTGGTTTCAAAGCCAATATCTCCCCCCTGATCGCAGAACAATATCGCGAGGACAAGCCTTATGTCAAGACACTTGCTAGCGGTGAACGTGTCATTGTTGACCCCTCTGCCACCGTTTCCCGTATCTACATGTACTTCTACATGATGGTCAATATTGGTTCTTTTGTAGGTCAGGTCGCCATGGTCTACGCCGAGCGATATGTTGGTTTCTGGCTCTCGTACCTGCTCCCCACAGCCATGTTTTGCTTATGTCCTGCTGTGTTGCTCCTTTGCAGGAAACATTACATCCTCACTCCTCCTAGTGGATCAATTTACCCCAAAGCTTTCAAAGTGTCGATGTTGGCGATGAAGGGCCACTGGACACTGAACCCCGTGCGATGGTAGGCTACATCCTGCTAATGCTGAGTGTTACACCTGCTGACTTTCATGTGTAGGTTCAAGAGTTCCAGTACCGATATCTGGGCTGCTGTCAAGCCCAGTCAGCTCGGAGTCAACAAGCCCGTGTGGATGGACTTTGATGATGCGTGGGTTGATGAAGTTCGCCGAGGACTGCTTGCCTGCAGAGTATTTTTGTGGTACCCCCTTTACTGTACGTGAAAAGATCCTTCCTGCTACATGCGCACATACTGATCATCTCCAGGGCTCGCCTACAACCAGATGTTGAACAACCTGACATCTCAAGCGGCCACCATGAAACTTGGTGGTGTCCCCAACGATATCATCAACAACCTTAATCCCATTGCACTGATCATCTTCATCCCCATCTTTGATCACATCGTTTACCCTGGTATTCGCAAGATGGGTTTCCACTTCACCCCCTTGAAGCGTATCACGGCCGGTTTCATCGTGGCTGCCCTCAGTATGGTTGTTGCCGCGGTCACCCAACACTACATCTACAAGTTGGGTCCTTGCGGTAACCAAGCAAACTACTGTCTGGAAGTTAAGCACGAGCACACCAACATCTCGGTTTGGGTTCAGGCCCTAACATACATTATGGGTGGTATTTCAGAGATCCTTGCATCCATCACTTCTCTGGAATATGCCTACACTAAGGCCCCGAAGAACATGCGGTCCCTCGTGCAGGCTGTCTCGCTACTGATGAACGCTTTCTCATCTGCCATTGGTCAAGCTTTTGTTGGTCTTGCTGATGATCCTCTCTTGACCTGGAACTACACTGTGGTTGCAATCCTCGCCTTCCTTGGTGGTATTGGATTCTGGGTCACCAATTACAAGTTAGACGCACAGGAAGACGCCATGAATATGCTCCCAGACAGTGCATACTCTCCCCAGGCGGTTTTGGATGAGGAGCGGAAGTAAACAAAGGATTTTCACTTGCGTTAGATGAGACATCTTGTGTCAGGATGAAGTAATGGTATACATGAATGGTTCGATCCTGGCATGGTTGGGTACTGAACATAAATAAATATAGTTTCAAGACCATGAATGCCCGTAAGACTGATATTTCATTTAATCCATTTCGTTCTTTCGTGGACTTTGTTCTTTGCCGTCGTGGGTGGTTTGTTGCCTCTTTTAAGACCGTACCAAGGGCAGCCCTGGTTAATTCTTATTTGGTGACTTCTCCATCATGTTCGTAGTTTGTTGTTTTGAATCATCTCATGCTTCTTGTTGTAGGTAATGTAGACATTTACTAGTCTCTATAACCCCAAAAAATCCAAATTACTTTCTCTTCCGTAGGCTTTGCATCCTAGCGCTGTCTTTTTGTTTCTTTTTTGGTGCTTCATCCTGCTTTGCACTGCGTTTCATTCCTGTTCTTCCTTTCTTTTCGTCGTCTTGCTCGTCGTCTTGCTCGTCGTCTTGCTCGTCGTCTTGCTCGTCGTCTTGCTCGTCGTCTTGCTCGTCGTCTTTCTCGTCACCATTTTTCTGGTTGTCCTTATTCTTCTCTTCGTTCGTTTTCGTCCCTTTTTTACCAGCCTTCCCATTCCGTCGAATTTTCTCTGAATCTCTCTCAACCTTCTGACCCTCATCCCCGATACCTGAACTAGCCTTCCGCCTCGCTTCTTTTGCCTCTGTGGTATTGCCAACAAACTGCTTCCCCCCTTGTGACTCCTCTACCTTCTTCTCTTCCGTCTCCTCCTTTTCCTTTTCACTCAACTTCTCCCAGGCCTTCTTGGGAAGGTACCTTTTCCGCGATTCATCATCTTTTCGTGCTGTACCAGACCCCTCCTTCGTTTGCCATTCCTCTTTCGTCCAGTTATCAAGGTGTTTCTGAGATTCCGTCTGACCTTCTTCCTTTGCAGTGTTGTAGCTGCCTCCGCGCCTTTTGTATTCAGATGCCATCATTTGAGCCTATACGAGTGTCAGAAGCAATGTTGGGTGAGATATAGGGATTTGAAGGGGGGGTTATGCTGAGCACCTTTCGTGCAGACCATTGGCCAGGTTTCCCGCCCTTGTCGCTGTTATGGATTTCTTTTTTGATTTCATCGCGGAGTTCGGGGTCGCTGTATTTTTCCTTGGGTGGCATCAACACGGTAAAGAGATATTTTAGCGGTGCACAGTGGTATGATGAAACTTGAGACAAGAACTGGCCAAGTAGCACCTTTTGGCTGCTCGGGTCATGACATATCAAGTGGTGTCATCGAGTTACATCATCCCGGTACATGCTGGGCCCTGGTTGGGTTGACGAAACTTTTATGTCCTCACTGTGGTTTAACCTTATTTATTTCCGGAAAGTTAAATTTTACCAGGTTTTGGGCCGCGCTGGTCGATAACCCGATCTTCACCAGCCTTCTTTAGAATGGCATTTGTAGCACCTTTAACTATCTCTGCGGTAGGTGATGTATACGCACTATCTAGGGATTGAACCTAGCTAGTGAGCGCCTTTTCTTGAATTAAATTTAGGGATCTAGTTATTGTGGCACGGTCGGTATAGGACTAACGGCTATGAATCCTAGCCCTAAGCCGATGGTATGGTACGTTAAATTCCCGCGCTAGTTGGGCGATTTTAGGCTTGTTAGCCTGGGAGAAGTTTGACTGCAAGCTAGATTTAGGTTTCCATTTATTTAGTTCGGTCCGATATCGTGGTGTGGTGTAAAATAGGTACAGAAGTGATGATAAATTGAAAATTTTGCGTTTGGTGGGAATTTTGCGTTTAGTGGGGCGCACCAACTACCCAGGATGGGTGGTTGGGCGCTAGGCACGGTTATATCAAGCGATCTACATCATAGTAGTCTCATATGCTGTGTGCCACAACGTGCTATCATTGCTCAGCTAGATCAAGGGTGTACGACATTGAAATGCAAGGGGTCCTTGACCAGGGTAGCTGGTACTATGAGGGTAAAAAAGTCCTTCTAGTTTACATTGAGCTTTTCTTAGAATCTGCGGAGCAACATGGCTATTCATTTTCCGAGTCAATGTCAAATCTGACATGTAGGGCAACAAACCATTGAGCGAGGTTGCTTCTGTTAGCTCAATTCTAGTTGACATAAATATACCACAGTACCTCCATTACAAAA